ACGGAATTCAAGGTTTTCTTGTTTTTCAATATCACATCCAGTTACATTGTAATATAAAGTTTGAATATTGTTGCCATATAGTATAAGTGTCACCATACTCAAGTGCAGGGAAATATATTTAGGGAGAATAAGGATCGTCAGTTAGTAATGGTCTAATATTATTTAAGTTTGAATGTGCATCATTTATACCTTTACTCGTATAAACATCTTGATATGGAGTAAACATATTTTGAAGACAGTAAGACTTCTGAGACAGCTTTCGACTTATAAATGCCAGTAGATGGTATTATTCCAGCTCTTTTTTACGGTTTTAAGATTATCACAACCCTCAATTTAATAAGGCAAAGAAATAAAATCTTAAGGAACGCAATCCGCCTATGGAATAAATAACCTCATGCTGCTTTTAATTTGTTCATAAATTTAAAAAGAAATTGCCTTAGTTTTTGGCAGGCTAAATAAGGTGGTTAATTTGTAAAAATTCGCTCGCTTTGTGTTTTTAGCAAACTTGAAAACCTTTGTCTTCGGCAAACCGAAGTTTATATACCCCTGCAGCTAAAAACATCTAAATTTCGAATTATATGAGTCTCGATCGCTCCTATGGCAGCTTTATGAAATCGTTTTCCGATTTGAATAAAATTAAAAGCGTAATTCTTATTTAATAAACCATGTATATGTTTAATAGAATTACAAAAAAAAAACGCAAAATAAGAGAAGTTAAAATTTTTTGTTCATTTTTTTTTTTTAAATAATAAATAATAATAATAATAAATAATAATAAACCATCACAAAATATCGAAGAATTATACAAACAAAAAAATAAAAAACAGCAAGGTTAAAATTTGCAGCTTGATATACCCGAGGCTATAACTTTTAGCCCATGGAATATTATGCCTTAAAAATGTTATTAATTTTCTTTAAAAACAAGTGTATTAATATTTTGCGACCACTTCACAGTTATTTTTTTAACTTGGCAGGCAAAACCAATTCACAACCATATCCACAAAATCTAAAAATTTGCTAATTTTCTAAGGTTAGGCAAAATATCTTTGTTATTATCATCAAATAAGATTTAAGACACAAAATCAACTTAATTCTGTTGGTGCTATTAGATTTATATGAATTTTATTTACTAAAAATAAATTGAGTGGAAACATGTTAAACAATTTGTTTTTAAATATTTGTTTTCTGTTTATTTTAAGCCAAAAATGTATTTAATTTGTTAGCAAACAGCAATGAAGTGGACTTATTAATTGGTGATTTTCAGCAATTCAGGTACACATACAGATTTGTGCTAAGGAAAATTTAACGACATAAATATGGTAGATAGCATATGATTATGTATATACAAATACACATGAAAAGTACATATGTATATATACTGTCATTTGCGACACAAATCAATTAACATTATTCATCCAAAAACAATAAATTGTCATAATTAAGCTTATATGCTGTTACCTCTTTGACGTGACACAAAAACAATAAAGGCAAACACAATGGTTTTGCTGCAGATATTAAAGGATAAAGTACAAGAGTTGACCAATTTGAAATTTTGTGTGTCTTGTATTACCAATTTACGAAAAACTAGAAAGCAATTTGCTTAAATGGTTTCTTAGCCTTTTGCTTGTAGAAAACTTTATCTTTGCTAGTCACTGCTTAGAGTTTTTTTTGTTTGTGTTTTTCTGTCGTTTTAGCAACTTATCTGAATTAACTCTATAATTCTCTTTATATTCTTCAAAAACAATATAGAGCACTGTCATCTAGATGGAGAGTATTTTTGTACTCTTTGTTTCCTTTTCCGTTTACACACTTATTTACTGACTTTGCTTTAACAATATACCCTTCTATCTCATCGAGTAAGGGGTATAAAATCTTATAAATTTGATATCAATTAAAATGTTGTGAAAAAGCGTACAATTTTATTCCGCAAATGCCATGTAAAATGTGATATTTGTACATTGAAAGTCGAAGTAGAATGTTTAAAGCATACTTTTGTACACATTTTCAAGTGATTTCAAATCACTAGAGATGTCTTTGGCCATAAAAGGGAAACATGGGGCGAGCACACAAAGAGTGCAACATTTTGGTAAGGCCACTTTGCGACATTTTAATTTAAATGCTAATCAGTTGCCAATGGACAAAAAAGAACGAACCCATCCCACCTCGAGTGCAGTTCATGTTCCTGGGTGTACGTACGTGTGTGCCTGGGTGTGTGTGCAGAAATTGCAGCTCATTTGGAGGTGGGAAGCTGTTCTGGGTGGGCTGAATAGACTGAATGGACTGAATGGACTATGGACTATGGACTGGATGGGCGCAACAGCAACAGCGCTGCAATTTGTATTTAAAATGTCGGCCATTGTGGATTAGCTGAGACAGAGGAGCAGCCAGGAGCATGTCAAAAACACGACACTGGAAAAAAAAGCCCACTGATGCTCAAGGAAACCACACTCAGAACAATGTTGTTCCCTTTAGTATTGTAAGGTCATCGTAAATCACATATCTATTCTAAAATGAATCTGCCAAAATCTACCCAGCATATCTAAACTCGACAAATATTATTTTTTTTTAATAAAATTGTCCTTAACTTATGAACAAATTTTTTAATATATTAGACAATTTTTCTAAACGAATTTCAATGCATTAAGGGGATTCCTTTTCAACTTACGAACAATTTTCTAAGTTTGAGCGAATTCACACTGAAATTTCCAAAGGTTTTTCCTTGGTTTCTGGTCAATTTACCTAACGAAAAAAGGAAAACCGCAACTTATTAGAAAGTTTGTCATACTAGCTTGCCTTAAGAAACATTTGGAGTGCAATTTTTTTGAGTGCACATAAAACGCCCCAAACACCTTCAAAAATAAATTATAGTTCAATGCAGTCCCAGCCCCATTGTTCTTTTGCTCCTGTATTTATGTAATTGCTATCGATTCGCGATTGAAAACATGATTGTGCATCTAACTTTCAAACAACCTGAAGCTGTTTTGCAAAAATGAACAATATTTTGTGTAAAGTAAATTCCACACAACAGAAGTACTACTTCTACACATGGGATTGAGTTTTCTATTAGTTTCGCTGTGGTTTCTAGTAGCTTTAATTCTAAACTTTGCAAATTATTTTTAAACAAAATTACTTATTAAGAATTTATTGCTGCTATTCAGAAACTTCTTGTAGAAATGTAGCAAGTTATTAAACAAAAGTCTATCATTATTATTATATACTTATAAATACTAAGCAAACAGATAACGAGAAAATTAACGTAACGTAAGATATAACTTTAAAAAAATTATTAGTTCCAACAATTTTAAAAAGTACACATAAAGAACATATTTAATATCAACTTTTAAAAATGTTTTAAAAAATGTAATATACATTTTTCATGGGAAACTTTTAAAATAGTATGCCAACCGTCGTATTCATTACCTACATAAAAAAAAAAGAATTGTTTCGTAATATATATTTGAAGTCTTTTATATTTTGAACCAACCTATTTTCTAAGAGATTATAAAAATGAAATTAAACAAAATCTGCATAATTCAGGCAAATAAAATATTCAAAATTATTAGTGACTTTTATTTCACGAATAACTTATTGAAATAAAACGTATATTTTTTGCTAGTGAACGTTGTCACCTAAAGCTTTTTGTGTTGCTATTTGGGTGCCGTGTCGTCATTATCATTTGCATTTGCATTTTCGGCCTGCTCACTGTCGGCTTGTTGGGTAAATATTGCCATTTTATGCAGCGTCCACGAGATGCCATCGAAGCTGGTGACAAGGTGTGTAGAAAGTGGCGTAACGAGGGGGCAAGTGTCCCCCGTGCACACATTGGCTATAAAAACAAATTGGCTGGGGTCGTGGACACAAGGCCGCGACATATTGTTAACCAAGGTCTTGTTTTTGCACCTACTATTCTGTTAATTCCGTTTATATAAATTTGAATCTAATCGATAACGATTGCCGGCAATCGAATGCATCCGTATTGAAGCTGCCTGCTGCGACACAGTGTTTCCACTTCGCTTCGGAAAAAAAAGCCACCAAAAATGTGTATTGTATTCTCAGCATATATTCTTCGACCTATTTTGCGAATGTATGTGGATCTAATTAATTAATTAAATTACTTTCCGATTCAATCTATTACAGAATTCTGAATTTTTAAGACTTGTATAACTCAAAATTATAAAAACCCGGTGAACTAGGAAAACCTTATTTTCAAATAAAGGCACTAATTTTTGAAAATTTCTACTTTTTTTTGCGAATGTATGTATGTGAAGTAACCTTTTTAATTTCTTAACGATTTCTTTCCGAATCAATCTATTATCGGGTACTGAATTTTAAAGACCTGTATAACTAAAATGAATATTATTTAGAGCATATAAATTATGAAAACTATTTTTTTCATAGTTGTCCTTATAGTGGGCCTTTAGTTTGGAAGCTTTATTTTAATCCAATTTATCAAGCTAAATTTACAGCTTTAAGAACATAACTTGGGTATTCATCAAACGACAGAATCTCTGAAATGTTGAAGAAACGACCCAACATAATTCCTGCTGAAATTTTCAAATAGCTGTTCCAGCCGTTTTGTCCTAGCATTGTTTGCCTTAACTTTTGCCTCATTATTGGATCTTTATTTGCATATATGTATTTGGTAATAATTTTCATGTTGGGACCAGTCGTGCCTTCTCAATTTGAATAGAAAAGAGCAACTACCCTGGTTTTGCAGCAATTCAACAAACATTTTCAGAGATTCTGTCAATTTTCTTCATTCATTGCTCATTGGAATCGTTTGTCCTGCTCGCACTTACATACAATTGTTTAATTAAAAAAATAAATGAGCATTGAATGAGATCAACAATGCAGTGTCATAAGCCCATTAGCAAATACCCACAAAGCTAAAAATGGCCAGATGTAGCCAAGTAAATTACAAATAGCCAAATCTGGCCGAAAAATAGCTGAATTGTCACACACTACAGCTGATCAGGTTCGTTTTTGTTTTTGCGGTTTTCATTTAGTTTACATTTTACTTGTTCATTTGCGGGCTATCGCTCATTCCGCCCAGATCGCCAGCCCCGCCCCCTGCCTACCGCCTACCGCCTCCCACCCGCAATGGACGCCCGGATGACGTGCAGCTGCCAGGAGAGCAGCCAGGAGAAGAGTCACCGCCTGCTGCAGTTCACCAACTGCCGGCTGGTTCGTGGCCACCGGCTCATCCACGACGACTTGTGGGTGCGCGACGGGCGGATTGTGAATCCGGAGCCCGTCTTCTTTGACGAGCAGGCCAAGGCCCACTGCCGGATGGACTGCGGAGGCGCAATCATCGCCCCCGGCTACATCGACCTCCAGATCAACGGTGAGCTCAGTGCCGACTTCGTCATCACCGCTACACTGAAAAAAAAAACCAATCAGGGGAATCCAAATTTAAGGTCTTTCATTATTGCTAGTCATGTATTTAAAACCAGCAAAAGAATAGGGTTTTGTTAAATTTGTTCAGATGAATGGTGAATTCAGCTCCCATCACTTCCCCGTTACACTGAAAAAAATATATAATCAGGGCTTAAAATCTATGGAAATTAACTCCTTAGGCACACTAAAAACACTAAACGGAGAAAAAAATTATAAGAAATAATACTCGGTATAATGAAATTGCAATTCAATTTGGTCTTGACTTTTTTGTGTTCGAATAGAAAGAGAAAGCGAAAAATTACCTTTATTTCATAACAATTTTACATTAATGGTTAATCAATGGTTTGGATTTTCGGTTGGATTTAAAATAATGAATACCATTGAAATTTTTGTGTGTGATAGGAGTATGGTGATTAATTTAAAGACTATCCAAATTAAAATATCTAATTGATATTTAAAGAAGTCAAATCTACATTTTTTTAAAATTAAACTTTAATATTAAAATATCACAAAGCTATAAAGATATAGATATCAAGATAGACAAATAAAGGCAAATAAAGGCAATTACTTCTCTAGCAATAGAAGTAAAATGTTTTTTCTCCGCCTGCGATCCCAATAATTGACTCTTTCGCCGCAGTTCAATTAGTCGCCAAGGTCGTAGGCACCGCAGATCTGTTTACCCGTTGGCGAACCGCAATATGGAGCACTCGTAATCGGAGCGAGTTAATCTTATCGTGACTTCACAGGCCCCAAGCGACGGCTTAACCGCAAGTGGACTACAGTGGGCATTTTAAGTAGGACCACTGGGACTGAGCTAAGCTGTGGCTTTCAGGTCGCGATAAGCTGGTTCTTTGTCTTGAAGAGACAATGGAGACTCTTTCGGTACAGATTATCCGTTGATTTCCGTTATCATTATATTTCAAATTTATAGTTCATCAGACATTTTTTGTTCAACAAATATTATTTCTTTAAATGCTTAACAAAATATTGCATTTAAAATTAATCTGAAGATCGTTATCTCTATTTTAGAGATTTTATCTAGAAAATTATTCTCTTTGAATTTTATAAACCATATTATGAACTTAAGATAACGTTACTCAACTCACCAGCTTCAATATAAATATGACTCTAGAAAATAATCGGGTGCAGTGACGTCATAATTAAAACCTTCCTAATAACTTCTAAAATAATGGTTCGATTTATAAAATTTTTGGTGTGTCATCCGTTATATTTCGAATAAATTCGTAAACTGGTTAAAAACAATCTTTGTAAACCCAAGTATTTTGAGCTCAATTTAAATGTTTTTAGCTTTCATTTTCATCCATTGCGATTTTGAATTATTTTAAATATATTTAAATGTCTTCAAAATTGATTTCAATGCATTCAAATCAAATAGAAGAATTTTAATCTAATGTTTTCCAAATTATTAATTTAATAAAAATATTAAATATAACATTTTGAATTCAAAAGTCTGATATTTAGTTTTACTATTTCATTTCCTTCAGTAATGTGAAACTTGTGATATAGTGATAAATAGGATATAGTCCCTCTACAAAATAGTTAGCCAGTGACAAACTATGCTTAACTTTGGTTAGGTTTTATTTTGATTCAATTGAATATGAAATATGTGATTAAGTTCTTAAAATTGATTTGCCCTTTCTACAGGTGGCTATGGCGTGGACTTCTCCTACGACACCGACACCATCGAGGAGGGTGTGACCACGGTGGCTCGCGGTCTGGTCAAAAACGGGGTCACCTCCTTCTGTCCCACGCTGGTGACCTCGCCCAGCGACAGCTACCATACAATACTGCCACGCATTCCCGCACAGGTTCCAAAAGGTGCTGGAATCCTGGGCATCCATGCGGAGGGTCCCTTCATCAATCCCCAGAAGAAGGGTGCCCATCCGGAGAACTGCATACAGACAATTGATAAGGTAGGAAATTATTCTGGATTTAAGGTCCGAATCTATCAACCTATTTTCATTTTCGAATTGATCTTTAAACGATTGGAAAACATCAGTTTTTTTAGTAAAGCAATTACCGATCTATAAAAAGAAAGGAAGGACCTTAATTAATAATTATTAATTTGATTGAATAAAAATAATCACAATTTCATGACAATTTTTTGAGTATTATTTAATCGCTTACAAAATAATTATTATTCTTTATGTTTATTTTTTGAGCAATATATTTTTTGATCAAAAACTTCGTTCCAAGTCGGATAACTTTTGTTGTTTAGCATTCTGAAAAGGAGATTTTTGTGTAAGCTTATTAAGCAAATTAAGTTGAATTAAACAAATTTTATTTTGAATTTAATTTTCTTATATATTTTTTTTAATAATTAAAAAGAAATGTATTTTGAAATTGGGTTTGTTTCGTTATTCTTGATTTACTCAACAACCTAAGCTAAATGTATTTCAAGAATTAAATTAAAAATTTTTAATCGAATTTTTTAATTTAAATTTTTTGATCGAAAATAGGTCGCTAAATAATCAGTATTTTTGGAGCAATTGTTTTTCGCTAAAAAAAAATAATTATTATATTGTAATGTGTATTGTATTACTTATAATACTTGAATATAAAGCATGAAAAAAATTGTTTTCTTTTTAAAATACAAGTTAAGAGTCCAATGCAAGTGCTTGAGAACTTTCACTTTATTCCATGAATCGAACTACTTTTCCCTTGTCCCGCCGTAGGGCCTTAGCACGCTGGAGGGCACGTACGGCTCGCTGGATCGCATCAAGATCATCACGCTGGCGCCGGAGAAGGTCACTGACCCGGAGGTGATTGGCCAGCTGGTGGACCGGGGGATCACCGTGGCACTGGGCCACTCGATGGCCTCGCTGAGCGATGGTGAGCGGGCCGTGCAGCAGGGTGCCACGCTGATCACGCACCTGTTCAACGCCATGCTGCCGTTCCACCATCGCGATCCCGGCCTGGTGGGCCTGCTCGCCTCGGATGCAGTGCCGCACGGCCGGACCGTGTACTTCGGTCTCATCTCGGACGGTGTGCACACGCATCCGGCTGCATTGAGGATCGCCTACCGGACGCATCCACGGGGCCTCATCCTGGTCACGGACGCCATCTCGGCCTTGGGCCTCGAAGAGGGTGTGCACCACATCGGGCAGCTGCCGCTGCAGGTCAAGCAGGGCAAGGCATTTATCGCCGGCACGGAGACCCTGTGCGGCAGCATCGCACCCATGGACGAGTGTGTCCGGATCTTCCAGAAGGCCACGGGTAAGTGATCATTGCTGGCGTTCTTATTTAGTGCCGCACAACTCACATCCTGTCTTGATTTTCGCATCAGAATGCTCCATAGTTTATGCCATTGAAGCGGCCACTTTGCATCCCGCCCAGTGCCTGAAGATCGAAAGGCAAAAGGGGACACTGGACTTCGGTTCCGATGCGGACTTCATTCTCCTGGACGACCAACTCCGAGTGCTATCCACCTGGATAGCGGGGACATGTGTACATCGGACTGCCAATTAGTGCATCAAATGTACATTTTATAATTTACCTGATGTCGGATATATTTTATACCCAAGATTCTCCAAATAAATTGTTAAATTTTGTACATGGATTTTGTAAGAAAGGATTTGCATATTTCAGCTTATTTAACAACGAATAATTTTGACTCAAAGACTTTTGATTCCAAGTCTTAAAATAGTATATTTGGTGGCAAATTGATTTCAATTTACTTTACTTTACAGCCAATTTAATCGATTTAAAAATAGATGGAGCAATAACAATAACATTTATTTGCCACAATTGTTATTTCAGTCAAAAGTGTGGAATGCACTTGAACTTCGGACATATTCATTGTTAACGATTAGATAAATAGCGTTTTGAGTTTAATGACGCTACAAAATTGCATCCGAAAATCCAAATAGTTTGATAGTTTCTAACATTTACGCCTATAACTCGACTATAACTATATTAGGGACTATATTATAATCATAATATAGTCGTTTTAAAGTTTAATAAACATTTGTCAAAGTTAGCTTTCATGATAATGATACAATATTTTTTACATACAAGATTTATGATTTTTTAATCGACATTGATCTTAGATCAAAGAATTATGATTTGACAGTTGTAAGATTACCGGGTCAATAAGTTTTTGCCATATGCAGGGCTTAGCAATTAAACACCGACAAAAACCCCAATTACCCAAGAAATAGCCTTTGGATTATATGACATGGTTTAGGTTGTTCTTTATATTTTTTAATCGGTAAATCATTTGGTGTGGACAACTAAACTAGATCCATATACAGTTACAAATAATAGGTTTACACGAACAAAAAAAATTGTTGAATAAAATTACAAGGAGACAGGAGGCGAGCGAGTGAGCGAGCGAGCGCACGATGGTGCGTTGGGTCTGGGCGCTCCTCCCTTGTGGATCCGGATGCGGATGCGAATGCTACATGGCGTGGCGTGCAACGTCCTTACATACATACATACATGGAGGTATACACGCGCGCACATCCACGCCCCCTTAAGTGTACACATATACATATATATATATACTGGGTGTGCGGGCGCGAATGCACATAAAAACGATGCAATATTATAGTTTATAATATATATATATATATATATATAGGCAATAATGAGAAAACAATTTCGAAACAGCTCAAACTGTGACTCTGGCTTGATGAGTGGAGTGGCGGCTGGCTTAGTATCGATAAACAAAGCGAAAGCAAGCTAGGTATATGCTATATACTATCCGATGTATAATATGTATAGGTGTTATTTATATCTAGGCTGAAACGCAAAACAAAACAAAACAAAACATAAAACAAAATACTAAATGGGGCGGCAGGGGAGTGCGAGCGATGGCGAACGGACGAACGAGTACAGGAATCGTAAGACTATTATATATATATCAAAAGTTACGTTACAAAAGTTGCTTATGTCTGCGTCTTTGTTATCTATATCTTTATCTTTATCGTTATCTTTACCCTTATCGTGTCATGTGGCTGGGAGAGTCCCTGGAACCGATCTTCTAGCTCCTGTCCACGTTAGCTAGCTGAACAAGTCGGCCCGAAATGCATGTGTGTGTGCCCATCCAAATGGAGCTGTGTCCAGGTGCCGAGTGTGCGTTAACTAACGTGACCCACTTTTAATCCACTCTTAATGACCACACCATCGTTCGGGGTGTTTTTGTAAAGTTGCTTCCAAATGTTCGTATTACAATATCTGTTGTTAAACTTTAGGTAGGTTGTTTCTGTTGCTTGTTCCATCTGCGTATCCTCGTAATAAGTATGTGTCCTCCGTGCGATTGACCCCGGTTTTATTGCTTTGTTTCCCTTCGTTCGTGCGGAGCAGTTTCAGAAACCGATCCCCACCGCATTCCAATCCAATCCAATCCGTTTCCACTCCAATCCGTTTCCATTTCCATTCCATTAAAATTTAATTCAATCCGAAATCCAATCCAATTCCATCCTTCGCCTTCCCCACGCACAGCTAAGCACAAACAAACCGGGTCAAAAAACCACGCCCCGTTCGCCCTTTTGCGCCGTTTTACGCGCAGCACTTGCTGTAGCCCGGCGCCTTCTCGTTGTTCCGGCGATCGATGATCACGCGCTCCGGATTCTCCGCCGACTCGCGTCCCGATGTCTTGTCCAGAATGGCCTCGGCCAGCTCGCAGAATGCCCGCTCGATGTTTATGTTCGACTTGGCGGATGTTTCCATAAACCGAATGCCGTGTTCACGGGCAATCTAAAAGTTGGCGCGAAATCCAAAATGAGAGTGAGAGAGAGAGAGAGAGAGAGAGAGAGGGGTTATAGACTTTGTAAACAAATTGATCAGCAAAGCATCGTATCGGGCGTATCTGGTCATTGACAAGCAATCATAATAAATAACCTCATGCGATTTACCCTACACTGTGTTTTTGTCGTTCGGGGGAATTTTTTGGGTTTGTTAACTACGAAATTTGAGGAAGTATATAGTAAACATAGTGTCTATAAAGCCAACATCAGGAATGGCAAGTATGTCGTGAATCACTAACGAATTGTTTTTTGTCAATTAAAATTGCCAAAATAATAATAACGATGTGTACAACGGAATTCAGATCCTCTCGACAATAATCCTCTAGTTAAACAGTTTGTTAATGGTCTGGATGAATATCAACATTAGATCAAAATCAACTTTATTCTTTGATACATAAATATAAAATCTATTTAATGTTAAAAGTTTTATAAAGAGGAAACATGGAACATTACAAGAAAATGTAAGAAATGTAGTGGTTTTCACAAATTTCAAAAGCTTTCCTACTTCTTTCTTCTTCAAACTACAGAATCTGTGGTTATTCGACAAATACCGATCCCTGATTTCTGGTTTGTTTGTGTTTACAGTGGGCAAAATAAGTTTGTATACAATTTTCACTTAAATTTCATATTAAATGTTCGTAAACTTGTTTTGCCCACTGTGTGTATACATTTTTAATTATCTGGTCAATTTGGGTTTGCAACAAAATTTCTTTGAAAGATTAATAGCCTAGTCGTATCATTGTCGAATAAACAATAAAAGCAAGCATTTCAATTACAGACATATCTTAAAATACGTTGTTAGGCTGGGGAGTATAAATAAATTAAAGATAAATGTGCTGAAAAGCATTAAAAGATATTTGTATTTGGAGCCATGCATTTTTCTGGAAAAGAGATTGGCCATTGTTCTTGTAAGCTGGATAATCCTCAAAATATAGTCTTTCTATAAATGTGACGTTAAAATGCATATTTCCGCATACAATTTTTGTAAAAATACTAGTTTTTTATGAAGAAGTCATAAAATCAAAACTTTTGTCGAGTATTCGAAAATTGCAATGCTTCTTTTATCCACAGGTTCTTAATGGGGAAATATTTTGAAGATTCTACTAATAAAGCGGCCTTGGGTAAACAGGCTAAAAGGCAGAATATGGAGTCCGGTAAAGGACATAAAACTGTGCCCCAAACACTGATCCTCAATTTGCGCGGGTTGGAGGTTATTCCCCCGAAGGAACTAATGCTCACCGCTTCGCCCCGCTCCTTGTTCACCACCCGCTTGTCCGTCATGTCGCACTTGTTGCCCAGGATCATCTTCTCGACGTCCTCGTTGGCGTGCTGGAAATGGATTAGGACAGGGATATAAATAGGTTTTTAACATGGGTCAGGGTTCACTCACCTCGTCGATATTTCGTAACCATTTGACTATATTCTCGAAACTCTTCTCGTTCGTTATGTCATAGACCAACATTATGCCCATGGCCCCCCGATAATATGAGGTGGTTATCGTGTGGAACCGCTCCTGGCCGGCGGTGTCCCATATTTGCAGTTTGATCTTCTTGCCGCGCAGCTCTACTGTTTTGATTTTGAAGTCGATGCCTGCGAATACGGATCCAAATACAACACATTTTCAGTGCGGAAAAACAAACGCAAAAGAGGGCCAATGACGTCACATTGGTGTTATCGATTACATTGGCTTGGAGTTCGGAATTTAGGAAATTAAAGCAGTTGCCCAGTGATATCACGATGATTCATCTACACATAGGACAGAAATTCCGCCAAATGTTTGCACGCTTGTATTACGTGAATTAATTTTGATTTAGTACTATAGTTTGGGGAGTTATATATTCTCGGTTTTTGTGTTTTTGGTTTTTTTTTTTAGCAGACAAAGTTATTGGGCGATCGAAGCAAGCAGTGCGTCCGCCAGTCGATAAGGCAGTGCCACGCCCAGTCCCTCGCACACTCACACTCGCACACGCACTTATCCTGGCTGTACAGCTGATATATGTATGGAAGGTCCCGTTACTCACCTATGGTCGATATAAACGTGGACGTGAAGGCATCATCCGAAAATCGGAACAATATGCATGTTTTTCCCACTCCCGAATCGCCGATCAGCAACAGTTTGAAGAGCAAATCGTAGGTTTTCTTTGCCATTTCGAAAAACGAAACGAAACGCTCGCAGAACAAAGCAGAAACACACGCGCACACTCACACTCGCACACACACACGCACACACGCACGGACGCAGGTGACAAGCGATATTATCTGAACTTCAGTTTTTCTTGCACTTGTCCTACTTTTTGGCCAATTAGGTGATGAATCTGAAACTTTTTTGCCCCCGGTTTTTAATGCGCCGAATTAATTTTTATTTTCGCTGGCAATTGTTGCTATTAGATAGCGCTGGAACAAAAATCGATGTTTATTCGATAGTTGTGATGTTGCCAGAATTGGGAAATATCGATGTTTTTCTCCGTCCATCGATTATTAAATTCTATTCTATTTCTTTCCGGGTATTTTCGATTGCTTCCTTTCTTGGTTTTTTGTAAAATTAAACAAAATTTGAAATAGAAAGAATGGCGAGTTTTTCATATGATTTTTAAATGTCAGTGCTTAGCTTCAATAGGTTAAAAGTAATTTAGAATGTTCCTAAATATTTAAAATACCTGCGGGCGATGTGGCATCCCGCATCGGCCAACATTGCTCAACACTGACGAGTGAAAACCTCAAACAAAGTGGGCCGTGTGCAACACTGGCGGCAAAACAATATTCGCAAATCCACAACTCACTCAACTTGCAAAAAGGAGGAGTTTCGCACAAAACAGGTAAGCCAAGGCCGGGATTTAAGTGATCCAGATCCCTGCTAACCCGGCTAAACCGGCACACCCGCAGGCAATGGATCTCGACTGGCAGAACAGCCTCACCGAGCTGAAGGATCGCGGCCAGTACTTGCTGCACTCGGAGAAATGGGCCGACTGCCGATTCTTGGTGGGATCGGGCTCCTCGCCAAACCAGCGGCTCATCGCGGGCCACAAGCTGCTCCTGGCCATGGCCTCGCCCGTGTTCGAGCGGATGTTCTACGGCAATCTGCCGGACAAGACGGACCCGATCGTCATACCGGACGTGCAGCCGGAGGCCTTCGAGGCGATGCTGGAGTACATCTACACGGACCGCATCACCATCGGATCGTTTGACAAGGCCTGCGAGCTGTGCTACGTGGCCAAGAAGTACATGCTGCCGCACGTGGTCACCCGCTGCACCCACTTCCTGTGGGCGGACCTCAGCCCGAAGAACGCCTGTCGGGCGTACGAGTTCGCCAAGCTCTTCGACGAGCCCCGGCTCATGCAGAGCAGCATGGACCTGATCGCGGCCAACACGCGCGAGGTGCTGTCCGATCCCAGCTTCCTGGACATCGAGGTCTCCACCCTGATGGCCATTCTCGACCAGAATCGGCTGAACATCGACTCCGAACTGGATCTGTTCAATTGCCTGCTGAAGTTCGCCAGCGAGCGGGGCATCCTCAACGAATCCGGCCAGGATGAGGGCGCCGGTGGGGGTCAGGTCCTGACCAAGGAGTCACCCGACAACACCGGCGGTCATGTGCTGGTGGAGGAGATCAAAATGGAGCCCGATGTGGCGGCCATGGTGCAGCACATGCACCAGGACGACGAGGGTGATAGCTTCGAAACGGATGCCGGCATGTCCTCCACTTCCTCCTCGGCGGCTGCAGCTGCTGCTGCCGCTGTAGCTGCTGCTGCTGCTGCCGCTGCTGCTGCTGCTGCTGCTGCTGCTTCCACTTCTACCGCCGGTTCGCCACCGCTGGATGTGGCCTCCGGCTCCGATGATCTGGTGATCATCGACAGCGACGCCTCCGCCGATGCCGCCGCCGCCGCCAACATGATCAACATCATGGACGCCCAGCGCACCATTCTCGACGGCGCCATGCTCCGGCAGGCGGTCAAGAAGATCCGCTTCCTCACCATGACGCCGCAGCAGTTCGCCGAGGGTCCGGCCCGTTCCAAGCTGCTGCAGCAGCACGAGGCCCTGTCCATTCTCATCAAGATCTCCAGTCCCACGCTCAACGACTGCCACATGCCCGAGGGCTTCTGTGTGTCGCGCAGCACGCGCAACTTCTACGAGTCGGGCCATCGTCATGGCCAGCGGGAGCAGTCCACCTCGTACCGCACCGGGGCAGCTCCCTCGGGCGGCCTGTGCTTCCCGGGACCTGGTCCGGCCGTGCGCCCCGGCTGCGGCGGTCTGATGATGGGCAATGCACCGCGTTTCGGATCGATCAGCGCGGGATTCGGCTTCGCCGGCGAGGAGCTGGTCATGCGCGCCCCAGAGCCAGTGGGCGTGCCGTCCGATGCCGCCCCAGCGCCGGCCACACTGCGCTGTTTTGGCGAGGGCTACGAGGGCGGTGGCGGCGTGGCGGCGCCCGCCAACGAGGACGACGGCGGTGGCGAACGGGCAGGACCGGGACCAGCGCCTGCTGGCGGAGCGGCAAGCGGTGGGGCTGGATCCGGATCCGGATCCGGATCTTCATCCGCTGCTGGCAACTCGCACAACGACATGGTGCGCGCCTACTGCATGCGCTCGCTGACCCGCCAGTTCGATTTCCGCAACACCAGTGTCACGGATGCAGGCGTTACCTTTCAGGTGGACACCAACATCTGGATACTGGGCGTGCAGGTGCCAACGCGCGTGCTGTGCGGCGAACTGATGACCTCCGCAGGGTTTACGGAGCGGTACACCGAGGTGCTGTACGCCCACATCCAGGACATGCACGGCTCACGGATCACGTACACGCACTGCACGGCGCGAGTGTGCTACGATTCGCTGCTGGACATCACGTTCGATCGACCCGTGTACATCTATCGCAACCAGATCTACAAGATCTATGTGGTGTTCAACAAGACCGGCTGGTATCCCATGTACTCCTGTGTGCCCGACGCCAACTGCCATCGCGTCAAGTTCATGTTCAACGTGGGCAATCCCACGGAATCCGTTCGCGATGGCCTCATCTACGCCATCATCTTCTCCACGCCGCAGGACCATGGCCGCCACCTGGTCGACTGAATCCGGCGCAACACAATAATAAGTTTAGCTAATTTTTGTATTTTCGATGTGATAGGCCTGGCATCTTTGGCATCTTTGGCCATCGAAATGAATTGATCTGAACGCCGAATTAATTTCCATTTGATATTTACAAACTGGGAACTTATTCTGCATTGTTTTATGCATCGCATGGCTTTGTCTCTATGGATTGCTTGTGTTCCTTAACTGAATTGGCATAATACATTGTATCATTTCAAAATACATACGTTTAGATATTTTTTTGTACGAGTTTATTGCCAAAATCACTTAGTTTCGATAAGCTGTAGCCAAATTTGCATTTATTTTTCCGCATGCTTCATTTCAGCTGCCGAATGATAATGATTTTGTAAAGAGTAATTTTGACAAACTTCACTTGAATTATTTCTTCCAAGCATATATATTTTTACAACTTAGGGCTTTGTAGATCAACAAGCCGCCAATAGTTTAAGATTTACACAAAACGAAATTGGTAGTTTCCAAATAATTAAAACATATTTAAAAGGTTTATTAACACCATAAAGTCTTTTGTGTTTTGGAAAATGTGTTAGATGAATAAGTAAAGGTATAATTTTAATAGTTGTGGTTTAAATGATAAAAACAATTTTTTACGATATTCCAAGGATCATTCCCCACGCCCAATAATGGTTTTTAATCGAATTATTTTTTCACGCCTTGAAGAAATGTACAATAAATAAAATTAACTTTATTGCGATTCATATACAAAAGAGACCAAACAACAAACAAGTTAATAATACAGAAAAGTGGGCTATAAAAAGGAGTCGGTTAACAAGCAAGAAGGTTAACAAGCGGTTGGGCTGGGAAGTTTTTTACAGTGCACGCGATATACAGAGGGGCAAAAGTGGTTACTGGGAGCATCGATCCTTACACACACACACACACGCACACAGTGCATACTCGAAAAATAGAAAACATTAGTGTGTAGCGAAGAGCTCGTAGGTTGAAGTTTTTTTTTTTTCTTTTTAATTTACACATTCACATAATCGAGTTTTCACTGTAGCATGTCCGTGTGCACAGGGATGTATATACAGAGCGGTCGATCGGCGATCCCTATTTGCCGTAGTTGGCGCAGCTTCCGCTGGCGTACTCCGGCTCCTCGCAGGTGAGCGTGTGCTCGTCGAAGACCTTGTCCTCGCCGCAGCTGATCAGGCGGGGATGTCCCTCGACGCAGGTAATCAGGCGGTGGCAGTCGCCGGAGACCGGGAAGCGGGGGAAGGGCCAGAAGCGGGCGGCCACCGAGTTCGGGTCCACCTTCGTGGGGCACTTGAAGCCGACGACAGCTGCAAAAACAGGTAGGTTTTATAAATGGCAAAAAGCAAACGTATTAAGTCCAAGTCAGTTTCATGCTCAATTTCAATATTTTTCGCTTTGATTTATGGTTTTTTTTTTTCAATAGGAAACTAGAATTTTTTTTTCATTTTATCATTTTTAAAATTGTCACAAATACGTAAACACATAATTTAATTTTTAGCCCTATGAAACTTAATTTCAATGCACTTAAAACAAATGAAATTTTTGTTCATAAATTTAAATATTTTAATATTAAATAATGTATTTAATATAATGGTTGTTTATTTAGTTTAGTTTAATTTGAAATATAAAATATTGAATTTAACAGCCTTGTATTTATATAAACTATTTCATTTTTGGATCACTGTAAAGTTCGTAAGGCAATGGATCCTCAGTAAAGATATCGTCTTCTTTAAAAATCTTACAAAAAAAATACTTAAAACCAGTTCTAGCCGTAACAGTTTCAACATGATATATATCAAATACAATCTGAAAAATTAAGTTGGTGCAAAGCCGACTCACAAAAATTGAATTAATTCATACATTTGAATTTATTTGAAGTATGAGTGCTACATATATAAATTTTTTTTAGAAAACCTACCAAACATGATTGTTTTGGGTTTGATTTTAACTGTTTATAGCGGGTTTTAGTTTAAATTAAAATAGAGTGATCAAAAAAATTTCTAGACGTAAGAATATGTTACCATTTTTTTTTTAAACAGATGATTTATGTATTAGTGGTGAAAAAAAAATTCCATATTGTTTAGCAGGCTAAAAACTTGAGCTGTTGAGATGTTCTCATTTCGAGTTAAAAAAAAAGTGAACTAAAAAAATTTTAAACAAAAGAATATGTTACTATATATTTAGTAAACAGAAGGTTGATGGATTAGTGGTGAAAAAAAATCGTATTATTGTTTAGCGGGCTTAAAACCTGGGCTGTCCTCAGTTTTAGTTATAAAAAGGTGGACCAGAATGTCACTAAATTTAAATTCTGTTACTATGTTATATAGTTTGTAAACAAAAGATTGATGAATTAGTGGTGTAATAAAGCTTTATATTGCTCAACCCCCTGGAGTCTAGAATATCTTTAATGGCAAGCCCAACAGTTCTCACCCTCGGGATTGCAGTGGTCCAGCAGCTGATCCGGCCAGTTGCAGCCGTGGATCCGCTCATCGTAGGCCAGTCCGGCGTCGCAGTCCTGCTCATGGGGCTCGCCGTGGGCGCACTTGATGTACGTGGTGGAGCAGTCCTTGGAGACGGCGTACAGGCCGAACTGGTACTCGCAGGCCGGCGTCGAGATGGGCGTGGCTGAGGGGAGGGGAAGGAAAGGAAAGGAAACGGACAAAGGATGCCTGGTTAGTAAGCGAATCGGCGGCAGCAGTGCGGCACGATCTACTCACGATCCCACTGGCGGCCCTTGCAGTCCACGGCCCAGTTGTAGTTGCAGTGGTTGTGCACGGCGCCCTTGCCGTCGAACAACAGTCCGTTCTCGCAGGTCTCCAGCGTCAGGGTGCCGTTGGTGCAGAGGAAGAACTGGTCGCAGTTCTCCGTGTGGGCGTACGCCTGCACGCCGTACTTTTCCGGGCACTCCGGCGAGCCCACGGCCAGGGCATGTCCTGAAAATCGAACAGAACAGAATGGAACGAAACGACGATAAGTCAGAGCACATGGTATTTTAACACTATTTTATAGGTTTATCTTTTCCTGTTTTTTACACTTTTGTTTGAGGTGTGTAATTGATAAACATTACCAAATATGAAAATTTAAACTATACAAAGAATTAGTCAGATTGCTGTTTCAACCAGTAATTATTTTTAAACTTAAAATACAAAACTTTCTCAATTTAACTTTATCTAGAAAACAATGGTTTGCACCAAAATCTTAATCTTTGCTCATTCAGTCCATTCCCCTTATTGAAAAACCTTAAATTGTTGTTTTAAACTTTCTCAGAAAAAATTATAAAGATACAGTAAAAAAAACATATTTTTTTTAAACTTAAATTAATATTATTTTTAAAGCTTATAAAGCGAAAGGAATTGATTTGTACTTATTTTTAAGTAGGAGTCCCATACATGCAAACTTATTTTTAATCACTCGTAGTTATATTGGACTTTATTTTCAAAAGGATCCAACTTTATTTAAAGTTGTTTAGTAAGTAAAGAAAAAAGTTTACTTTTCATATTTATTTTTAGGTTCTGTTGGTTTTTTCTATTAATTTGAAAAACAACAAAAATTTGTCAAATTCGCGCCTTCAGAATAATCAGAAATCGTTGAACTAATTAATTTTTATTATAATCGGGCAACGAGATCATATAGCTTCATTTCAAAATCGGCATAGTTTTATTGTGTTTAAATATACACGAATAAAAACGAAATAGAGTCGTAGGATTTTTAAACAGCTGCGAGGGTTTGCCGTAAATAAAGACATAAATTGACTTTTAAAATTATTAATATTCTATATTTGAGTAAAGTATCAAAAAAAAAAAAAAACAATAGGTTTTTATGGTATACATATGAACAAAATATTTTTAAGTTAAAAATGTTTGATAAATGTTTAATAGCTAGTATTTCTGATTTTTTTTTTATATTAACCAAATTTAATTTACTTATTGGCGAAAAACAAATTGTAAATAAATAGAGAAAAAAAAACATATATTTTTTTTTTCAAATGTTGAGAAAAGTTTTTTTTTGAGAGCAATTTTCAGACTGTAAGGGTGGTAAGCGAAGCGATTGAACAGATGTATCATATCGGTTATGTGAGGCGGTGCCCACTGTTCCCACTATTGTCAAACCCGAACAGCAGTCAACTTCCTTCCTGTCCGCCAGGCCGTCTATTTGTTAGCCCCTGCCTTCCACCTGCCTTCCACCTGCCGTCCACCTGAGCAACTGGTTTTGGATTCGGATTCGGATTCGGTTGGATTTTGATGCAAGTGCAAGTGACGCCACGACCACGAGACCGCGAGACCACAACACTTTCGCGCATCTTCGCACCGCGTCTAGCGGCAATGCGATCCGAATGGCTTTTGGAGTGGAGTCTTGTGTGATGTAAGCTCGAAGCGCCGATTGTTGACTGTTGTCTGTTGATTGTTGATTGTTGATTGTCCACTGTCTGCTGACAATTTTCTCGAAGTCCGAAGCTCGAAACAGCCGAAAATCGGAGACCAGACATGCATATACTTAAGTCTCTAAAGATTTCCGGTAATTTGTCACGGTCTCGCACTTTCTGTCTAAGTTTTCAGGGGGGAAAATGTCATCGATCCCTTATCGCATGAGGATTTCATCATCACTTTAAGCGTGTGTGTTTTAACATCGAATTATGGCCAACAACTTTAATAGAAATCATCTGTTTAACCCTGTTAATTTATTGCCATTATATAATCGTTAATGATCGGTAATTAAATGAAATTGTTCGTTTGCAACGTAACGATCGTTGGTAACGTATTTCATCAATTCAATGTTGACTTTAATGGATATATCATAGGTTGTTTTATGTTTACATATCCTTAGGTCTATACCATATTAACTGGGTTATGCTGGATTTGCTTTTTTCGGAAAACGTTTATATGAAACTTGTAGCGATCGCAAAGTTAGGAACCCAAAAGAGTGTGCTTGTGACGTAAGATAGATCGATCGCTTATCGATCCAAAGCGATCGCGGATAGGATTGCGATTTGATCTGATCTATCAACCTTTCTGCTGGTCGAAACTGGTTGCCTTGGCTAACCCAGAACTAGATCGTATAATGTGAGCGCCTTCGTACTTAATTGTCAACTGGTTTGACGGGCCCAAGTTCTACTTTGGCCTGGGTTTGGCATTTGTTTTATTTAGTTCATTAACTTGCCGGATCAGATCGTATCGTATCGGATCGGATGCCTGATATATATATATATAAATATATAGATATATGGGGTATTATCCGGCCAAGTGAGTCAGTGGTGGGAACGAAAAGCAAAAGTGATCGAAACGCGATCTGCATGCCAAATCAGCTATAACTGCATATAGCACATATATGTAGATATTGGCTGAGATCGGGGTGGTTTTTTTTTTTGGGGGAAGGATGGGGGGGGGTTAAGTGGAGCAGGCGGGTTTGCTTGGTAGCTAATCTGCGGCCTAGCCTTCGACTGGGAAAACCAGTAATTAAAATCTATTTCGATTCGAACTCGATATTCGAGGTGAGAACAAAAGAGTTAACGGTCACCGATTCGAAGGGGCTGTGCACATACTATACTATACCATACTATACTATATACATATACGCCCGATCACCATCTATCGCACATTTGGTCACTCCACGCGATTGCAATGGAATTTTTGAAAGTAAAAGCTTCCATTTTCGAGCCACACACACGCAAGTAATTGAAAGGTTGCGCTAATTGTAAGCGGGAGTGGTAGACCAAGGCCCTAATAAATATGTATGAGACTTATCATAGGCAAATGGGCTACTTACCACAGGAAATCCAGGCCAGGATTAGGATACTGCACACTTCGAATCGCTGCATGTTCGTTCCTAATGTGCGGATATTATAATATTATTGAGATAATTATTGAGATGGGCAATGTATAATAGCGGAAATGTAAAATGAGCAACCACAAGGCAAAAGCACATACACGCACCGCAAAAAAAAACAATATATGTATATATTCAAATATTCAATGCGCGCTAAATGTATTCAATATGGCCCAGAAATACTTGAAACTTCCGCTCCAAGAGGTCTGTACGTTTTAACGGTTACGCGTTCCAAACTCAACTGAAAAGATTTGTACCGCGCTCCAAGAAGAAGAAGAAGAAGCGGCGGAGCAGCGACTGCGCAGCGTTGGCAGCAAAAACAAAAAAAAATACAAAAAATACAAAAAAAAAAAACAGAAGAAACGTGGTCAAAACCGACTTAGCCAAACCAAAAACCAAACCAAACCGAGCCGAACCACACAAAAACAAAACCCCACAAACGACAAGCAAAGTTTTGCAAAACTTAAATATTGTATTTTTTTGCGGGTTTCTTGTTTTTTATGTTTGGGGGCGTGGATGGGGGCGGTGGGCGGTGGGTGGTGGATGATGTTGTGTTGTCACAGCTCCCATTGTTGTTGTGTGAATGCAAAAAAAAAAAAAAAAAACGGGATTTGGGTAGGGAAGTGTTGCCAATTTAGCCATTTTTCAGAACAGAGAGTTTTACATCTGCTTATGAAAACCAAAAATCCTGTCACGTCTCTCAAGGAATTTCCGCCCTAAAGTCAAACCTCTTGTTTTGCTCATTCCCAGTCACATACCAAAATTCATATCGATCGGATCATTCGTAATCCTGTTTTTGAATAATGAAAACCAAAAATTCTGCGGCACACACTTTTCTAATGAAAGGGATTTCTGCCCTTTTTCTCATTCTCAGTCCCATACCAAATTTCATATCTATTAGACAAATATGTCAATCGTAAATCCTTGAACTCTTAAGTACTTGACTTATATTGACTTTCGCCAACGATTTAAATAAAAATATTTCTCAAGTAAGGTGTTTAATGGATTGTAATCGGAGAAGTTAAACCATTATCCATGGATATCTGAAAATAGCTGTAATATATTTACAAATGTTAGTCACATGGATCTTGATCACCATTTAAGTTGATATAGCCATGGCCATATAATCGCATGAAGACGAAAATCTCGGGAAAGTAATTTTGAAAAAAATCCAGACGCCTTTTATACTTAGAAAATGAACTGTTTGGTACCCACATTACAATTTTATTCGACTTAAGTTTGAATGATTTCATGGCGTATCCATTCGATATTTAACAGATGTAATTGAAAAGCAATTTTCATTTTTTAGCGCCCAAATGATCGCAACCATTTGTGCGGTCTGTTTTGCCCCATCTGGCCATTTTCAGATGCACAAAAATAGCTACTTTAATCCCGAAAAACCGCCAACGCTGGATTTTGGAGAAGGAAATCGAGCCTCTCTGACAACATGTGTGATTGAAAGTAAAAGGTAAAGCTCGCGCAAACTATAAGCTTCATTCATGATTGGGTCCCGTTTTCCGTTTGCCGATTGCCGATTGCCGTTACATTGTTAACTATTGCAAAACTTTTGCTTTTGCTTTTGCTTTTGCTTTGCTTTGCTGCTGCTGTCGATTGCATAACACCTCTTGGGCTGCTTTTTTGTTTAATTTACATGTGCGGTTGCTGCTCTTTTGCTTTTGGTTTTATTTATTTTTTTTTCTTTTTTTGGTAATTAACTACTCTTTGTGTTCGCTGGCTTGACAAAGGGCTATAATGGATAATGGACAACCCACCGCCATTATCCGATATTATATTTCCCAGAGTTGCGTGTGGAGTGAAAGGCTTGATTGATTGATTAGAGTCGATCACTCTCTTCATAATTATTTCCAAACGAGATGCACACTAATTTTGTAAAGAGAAAATTATTGGGATGGTTTTGTCTTACGAATTAGAGAATTACAATGTGTGATGACTTAAATAAATCTGGCGAAAGGTTTTAGATGTAATAAAAAAAAGCATCTGGGCAAGTTAAGAAATCATACAATAAATGTCTAAATGAACGTTAATTATAAAGTTTAAAATTTAAAAAAGAATTGAAAAAATAATATGACGAGGAAAAGAAGAGTCCATAAATTGGTAGATAAGGAAAAGTGATAGATAAAGAAAAGTTGTGTTAGATATTGAAAGTATAGTTTTGAGGAACGAAAAATGGCAAGAAAACCAAAGTAAAGAATTTTAGGCATAGATACAGTGGGCAAAAATAGTTTATTTTATAAGAAATTTCAGTGCAAAGTGTACTTAAACTTCTTTTGTCCTCTGCATATATGATAAAGTGACATATATAACCACAAGAAGTCCGAATTTGGACTATAACATTTTGAAACTTAATCATAGATAGATCATAAAAGAAAGTAGAAGGAAGATTACGAAGAAATAGAAGAAAAACCAATTTTAGTCTGATCAAGATAATGTATATGATTGAAAATTCAAAAAAAGAACAAGGAAAATGTTAAGAATAGAGAAGTATTTGAAATTATCAGCTATTTCGAGAATGGAGGGAATTACATAATAGTCAAATTAACAAATTCAATCTGATCAAGATAATGTATGTGATGGAAAATTCAAAAATAGAGCAAAGGAAAAGTCAAAAAAATAAGTATTTGAAAATATCAGCTACTTCGGGTATGGAGAGCATTAAAGTATAGTCAAATTAAAAATTTTTTTTTGTTTTAAAAAAAAAAGAACAGAGGACAGCTAAAAGAAAATACAGATAGAAGGAAGATCATAGTCGGAGGATTGGGAAAGATAGATAATTTTAGTAGGTATAGTTTTATAAAAAATTCAGTTTATTTTTTTGTATAATAATTAGGTGAAAGTCTGAAAATGGGAAATATATACACAACAGTTTGGTAGAATTCGGTTGGGCACAGAGATAGGCAGATACAGAGAGTGAGGAAGGTGGTGATTTTTTGATTTTGAAATGGATTAAAAGAAAGGAAAGTACAGGTATAGAAAGTCAGATAGCCAGAGAGTAAACAGAGGAAGATTGAAGTTTAACTGCTACGCATACGTTCTATAGGAAATGGGCTAGAACTACTAACTTTAAGTGACTAAGACGCGAATCCGTGTGTTTGTTTGTGTTTTGTTTTTTTTTTTTTTGTTGTTGTTGTTTTGTTATTTGTGTGAGTGTGGATGTGAGATGAGACAGGTCGACCGGAAGTGTGGTCCTTGGTCCTCAGTGCTTAGTCCTTCTTGTCGTCCACCTCCTTGTACCAGTCCTCGCAGCCGGGCACATTTTCGGGGGCGTCGCACATCTCGGTGGCATCGTTGTAGACCTCGCCCAGCTGGCAGCCCAAATCACGCGGATCCTCGCCGTTCAGGCACACGTAGAACTTCTGGCAGTCGGTGGGATGCGGGTACTTGGGATGGGTCACCACCTGACCGCGATCGTCGGTCTTGGGCTGATCCTTGGGGCACACGAAGCCGGTCTCGGATGTCCCTGCAAATACATAAGATGGCTGTTATGTCCGGAACTCAATTTTCGGACTGCTGCTTTTTTTGGGGACGTACTCTGCTCCGGGTTGCATCCCTCACGCTTGGCGGTATCGGGCCACACACAGGTGCCCGAGTACTCATCGAAGTGCAGGCCCACGGTGCACTTGGTCTCCAAAGCGTCGCCCTCGATGCAGTTGTAGAAAATGTTGCACACGGCGGGATCGGGATGCGCGAAGAAGCCGTTCTTGCGCGGACAGTACTTGCTGGACTTGGGCTCCTCTGTGAATGGAAACCAAATCGAGTTAGGCACATACTGCATCGTCTACATCCAGCTTAATAGAAGTCCCGAAAAGTAGGCCCTAATATACTATCGGAGACAGCTTGTGATGTTGATAATAACTCTAGATTTGGTCAGATCCAAATAAATTTCTTCTGATTGAATGGTTTTGAGATCTAACTAAATTAGTGAGAGTAAGGGATATAACGTAGCTGGCTCATCGTCTACAAACAGCTTAATAGAAGTACCGAAAATTATCTCACAAAAGATATATTTTTTAATATTAATATTAATTAATATTAATTAATATTAATATTAATCTCTTATCAGTCTAAAAACAATAAACCGAATTAAAAGTAATTAACAAATTTAACCTGGAAGCGGTCATTATACGGACAAACAAGCCAGGCTTAATTTGTTTGTTTGCGAGAGACCAAAACTTAACCATAAAAACTAAGTTATTATTTTATAGTTTATTTAATAGACTTAAACCTTATAAATGTGTCAATCGTTTTAAACAATAAGTGTTTGTATTTTTAAAAAAATTCAAATTTAAGAAAATGAAAAAAAATAAAAGGAGCCGCAATTCAAAAGACACAAATACATAAAATGTAGTAAAAATTAAATAAAAGCAAAAGCCAATCGAGAAAAAATGCAGACTGTTTTATATGCATATTAAATGTGATCTTCCATTCATATTACCAAGTTGCCTTCGCCTTGACATAGTTTTTTCGTTTCGTAAGATGTGGCATAAACTTGTTTCCTCCCGAAGGCTCAGGATGGTTAATGGTAACTATACACAGTTAAAAATAGCTTTTCATGGCAAAATACATATTATTTTGTTTAATTTACTGGTTTGAAGTGATACAAAAATGATCATATTCCATTTGGAATTTGTACAGAAATCTATTAAAAGGTTTATGTTATGATATATTGGCGATGATTTCAGAAAGATTGTTGGTTAAAAAGCTCTTTTGCACAGCATAGTCTAATAGAAACCTCGTCAAGCGTTTTCAAACCTCTAGCGATTACTTAGATGTAGTTTTTTTCTGTGTATTCAACAGTTTACTTACGCAGCTCCGTGCGGTCCTCGCAGTCTACATTGAAGGGCTGGTCGCACTTGTTGAACTTGCGGTTGAGGGGGTCGAAGACCAGGCCGTCGGGACAGAGCTTCGCCTTGGCCACTCCGTCGTCGCAGACGTAGAACTTGTCGCACTGCACCTCATCGGCGAACTGGCCATTGGCCTTCGGGCACTCGAAGTTGGCTGCGTTGACGGCTAAAAGGGAGGAAACAGAAACAGTAACAGAAACGCTTGAGTCAACCAGTTTTTCACACTTTCACTTTTCTGAAGCCCCTGGTGCCCCTCAGTCACACACGAAAGTGTAACGAGATCGAACACTCGATTTTTCGATGGCAATTCCGCATTTGCGGTTTCCTGCTCGCATAAGAAATGAGCAATGGTATTTCAAGAAACAGGCTACTACAGTGAAATTAATATAAGGGAATAATGGTTTAGTCAAATCAGCAAATGATTGACTTGGAAAACGATCATTATAATGCTGTAATTTAAATGCAACTGAAAACGTAGATTATCGAGGGTGTCGCAGAAATAACTATGATTTTGGTATCATTAGTTTTAAAAATGTCTAACTGTATGTCTCTTTAAGGATTGAATTCGAAAACTCAATGAATTTATTCCAAAAGATAATATTCTTTTTATCTGCATACTTTTAGGCGCCTCTATAAATGATTTCAAAACAAGAGGGATTTCTGTGGCCCTCCATTTAATTTCTTAGCAAACACTTTATTAATTAGGATTGAATTTTGAAATTATTTTAGTTTTTCATACTAAATCGTAATAAGGTCGTTACGAATTTTACTTATGTATTTTTTATCTCTTTTTTCTTTATGATTGTTTCTTGCAACTAAAACTTTAGATAGTTTTCTCTGTGTAAAGGAAATCTTTAGAGTTTTCAATTCAATTACAAACGCTTATAAAAGTATGCTGCGATTTTCTAAAGTAGCATGGAGACGTTCTTTCTTAACCAACATACTTTTAGAAACCTTTTAAGGTATAGATGGGATCTATTTCGCTGATATTTTGAACAGCTAAAGATGCATGTTCAATTTGACATTTGGGTTGAGATGTCCAGTTCGAGTTCAATGCACTCCCCAAAAGAGATGAGCATCAGAAGAGCAACTTCTAACAGTCACGACTTTGCGCAGCTCTTGGCCAACATATTTGTATGCAAGAGTTGCATAACCAGCGACACTTGGGCTTGGCCAGCCATCCAGTTTTTCCAGACGGAAAGCCAGCCGGTTCTCCATCGAGTACAAACCCATGGATCCGCATTCGCGACTCGATTTTAAGGCTGCTGGGAGGCAATCTAAATGTCATTTGACTTAGCTGCCCAAAAAAAAAAAAAAAAAAAAAACTCTTGATATGCAAAATACACAGCAGACCGAAATAATCTTGATTTTGGTGTCAGTGTCAAAGCAATTAGCAACTAGTAGCGAATTCTACGGGTAAACAGACGGATCGGATCGGATTGGATGGGATGGGATGGGATCGTATTGAGCAGAAATCACTTCCACTGGGGGCACTACATTCATATCCATTTGGTATTCCGATATAACACTCACTTGTCGCCGCCACACACAGCGTCACAGCAATGGCACATAAAAATAACTTCATTTTCGACTTGGTGTTGAGTGGTCAAACAAAAAAAAAGAAACAAGTCGGAGACGATCCTGGGAACTGGGAACTGGGTACTTGGCCTGATCAACTGATCGCGACTCAAGCGCTGCGATGGTTAAACTAAACTAACAACGGAACGCCAAAGAGGCGCACTTTTCAAGACTTTTTACCGGCGACGTCGACGTCGACGACGAAGCCGACGTCGGCCGCGGCAGAGCGATGCCAATGGGCGGGGCCACTAGCGCCCCCGCCACTGCCACTGCCACTTCCACCAAGCCCAACCAAACCAAAACCAAAACCAAAACCGAACAAGCTGGAGCTAAAGCTGGAGCTGGAGCTCCAAAGGCGGTAAAGAAAGGCGAGCCGGAGATGTAATGGTACAAAAACAAGAAAGTTGCAGGGGCGATATTCGGAAAACCGCTGGCGAAATGCCCTCGCTTCAACCAAAAATCCAAATAATGCAGCCGCGAATTCTTAAGCACAAGCATCGCTAGCGCAAAACACTGATGCGCCACCTACCGGCCAGATACGTTTGCGATTTACATTTAATACCTAAAATTCTTAGCTAGATACAGCTTATTTTCGACATCAAAACAGAAGTCATAATTTTTATATAGTACATGAATTTACATAGATTAAATTAAATCTTAAATTTAAAATTAAATTGTACCCAATCAAAACGTTTAGCAGGTTTTAAGCTGCAAAATTCCACACACCTACTTTAAGCGGAAAAATAGGTCGCGAATTCTTTAGCACATGCTAAATAAATCTGTGCCAAAACCGTTTATCTTGTTCAATACAAATTCGATTGAAACTTGGTTGAAAGAGATTTTGTTCCCCATAGAGAGTACTAATAAGATCAATTATATCTATTTTTTGGAGGCAGAAGGTGGATTGAGTTATAAAAATTTGACTGTATGTATTTTAATTTGTAAAATAGGGCTTTAAAATATCTACTAAAGTTCGTAAGCTAACCTTAATTTAAGTTGGATCGAGTGGCTAATGGATCCCGGTTGTGAAGGGTATTCTTAATCGAGTGCCAGTGCCGGTTCCCTGCGATCATTGTGTCGATGTGGCCGAAAAAGCGACTCGAAAATGAACATAAACAAATTCATATGCGGCAACGGTCCCCGGGGCCGATTGTCAGTTGAATTGAGTTGATTTGAGTGCTCGCCCGAGTTGATGGGGCGCATGCAAATGGCATTACACCGATAAAAGGCCAGCGCACAAGAGACCCAAACAAATTAAGCCGAAAATGGTACAACAATAACGGCGATGTGATGAAGTTGATTCCTTTGGATCAAAACTCCGGCCAAAAGAGCCCAAAGTTGGTAGAACTAGGCTTCAAGGACTCGCCAAGGGCGTAGCATTATTCAATTTTTTTGGTGCTCTTAAACTCCCCATTTAAATCAACTACCAACTTTTGTGTGCCATTGCAGATCTTAACGTTCTTGTGAAACTTTTTCCATTCAGCATTGTAGGACTAATAACGTCTTTAATGAGCCTATTTCTAGGGCTCTTCGGTTACTGCCTCCTGATTTTAGTCAAAAATAGTGCATAATTCTTTAAAAGAATATTTTTTGTCTTTCAATGTTTAGTAACATAATATAACATTTATTGAAGTATCAAGTAAACTTTGTTTTGACAAATGAATAAATAATTGAATGCACTTACCTAAAAAGTATATACAGTCTTCAATCTTTTTTAACACATATTTCTGTACATACCACTTCCTCAATTCGATGCAACAAGTTTTTATTTTCATAACTATATTTGGTTATTTCGCATTTTGATTTTGTAAACAAGCTACAAGCTAGGATTTGGCAGACAAATCAATTTTTGCCTTTCTTAACCTCTTACTTGAATATACAAAACATACTGAATACAAAAAATATAAACTTAAGAGAGCAAATAAATACAAAAAAAAATAGTCAGAAACTAAACAATTGTGACATGAATTATGAAAAATGTATCAATAAGATGTAATACCCATCCAATAATACTCATAATTAAAAATAAAACCTTAGACTAAAGTTTACGACTCTTCGGTATATAAATAAAACTAAAAGGTATTGTGGTTATATTATATAGTGTTGAATTAATACCTTATTGTCTGTAGTTTGTATTCAGGAAATACTTACATATTTAAACTAAACTCTTAGTTTATTTTTTGGGTGTAGTTTTATAAACATACAATCTAACAAAGTTATTTATGCGTTTTTTGCTGAAGCTGAAAACCTAATTATTTCTCAAAGATCAGACCAAAACAGTTTTTTTATTTTAACAATAAATACATTTAAAAATAAAAAAAATTCAAATTGTCATTGGAACATTATAAATCTAAGTTCAAATTAATTTGAATCCGATTTGAAGGGGGGTTCCAGTTTTACAGATATTATTATTATATTGTTCCTGGTTCGGGATAAATATTTGTTTACGCATAGCATTACTTAGCCCGAGAAATAATTATTTTTTATGCCTACGCCCATGGGACACCGGTTTTATCCTATTCGGGATGGAAAACTGTGTCACATCCCCAGGTGGAATGGATTGGAAGACGAAAGAGCGGTCCAATGCCGGTAATATATGTACATAATATATGCATAAATATGCTAAACACACCACGCAATGACCCAAAAGCCGCTGTCCTTGGGAGATGCGATCCAATCCGATCGGAGATGCGGCAAAATCAAAATCAAAACCAGACGACACGAGACGAGACGGGCTGGAAAACTAGTTTAGGTCGTGGCATGGCGTGGCTAATTAAAAATACACTTTTACTCTCGTCTGTGGAGAGGTGGTTCTTGGAAGCACACAAATCCGAATCTAAAATTCAATTGGCAAATTAATTTGTAAACTAAACACGATTAAATCCCCGCCAGAGTGTGCTGTGCGACTGGTTTTGGCCTGCAATTATACATATTATATGTATTATGTATGCGAATGCGAATGCGAATGCCGCTCAGCGGTGTGCCAACTCCATATGCAAGATCTTGGCCCAGCCTCAGTGCCAATTTGTCAGCCTGGAGCAAAAAGCAGTTAAAGATTTGGCAATTCAAGGTTTTTACTGCAACATGGGATCGGATCGGATCGGATCGTTGATTCCAGTCCGGTTTATCGATGATGCGGTTACGAAATGAGCCACCAAAACACTCAAAACCCCGTATTCATATGCATTGTTTTATTACAGTTTTTGGGTTTGGGTCATCAAATGATGGTTTTTAATTGGAGATGCGCCAAAGCCGATCCAGAAATAAAACCCGAAAATCAATATACAGGTAATTGCCAATGGAAACAAAGGAAAATGGGACTTACAGTTAAGTCACATGCAAAAGTTGTTGTAAAGTTGGTGTAAAGTGCAACAGCCAAGCAACACCTGGCATTGGTGGCATAAATTATGGAAAAGACAAATCATTTAATTACGCTTTCTATTTTCATGGCAGGTTCTGGTGATTTCACTAGCCGCTAAACGCGCATTGAATGTAATTAGCCCTGCCGGCGGAAAATCTATGGATATTATCTACCAACACTCAAAAAAAAAATTATTAAAAAAATACATCTAATAAAATGTTTTAAACCATTAAAAAAAAGGTAATTTTGTGAAAATCGTATTCAGTACCTATAAAATATTTAAGCACACAGAAAATTGTAATTGTCCGAAAAAAATTGTTCTTCAACTATTTAAAAACTGGTTTCTGTTATTTGCACAATATATTTTCCTACTTATCTCTTGTAATTTTTGTTATTATTTTTTATATTAAGTTATATGGAAGATGTTTACATTTAAATTTTATAATTAGTTCAACTTACTATTACCTTTTCTTTCTCTACTGGAAATCGAATCGACTGGTAATAAATGAAAATTTAAATACAATTTTAGTTGTCATAATACCATTCAGAGGCCCAAATTATGAAACAACAAAATTATATAATCTAAATTAATAGGTTTTCTTCTATTTAAAATGTTATAATACTCTTTAGTGGCTCAAAATATAAAACAAGATACGTGAAATTGTTGTGATAGTAAAGTATTTTTTTTTGTTGATTTTACATGTTTTGTTTCCGTGTATTGCACTAATGAGTACATTTACAAGAAACAAATAAAAGCCAATCCTGCAAATGAGTTTAAATATCAAAAAACACGTATTACTCAAAAAAAAGATTATATTTTTTACTTACTCGTCCTTTAAGCTATATTCAAAGGAAAAGCGAAAACTATACCTTACCTCACTCATAAAAAAAATTATCTCAATTTTTTTAAATGCCGCTTTTAATTAGGCCATCAAAAATATAAATTGCATCAATAAAATAAATTTTAAGAAATGTTATAACTTTTCCGAAACAATATTATTATTTTTTTTATGTTTTAAAGATATTTTTAACAAACATTCGTGAGTAAAGACATTTTATTTCATGATTAAGAAATTCATTGTTGTAAAGATAGTATTTATATTTAAAAAGTCATCTTCTATTTAATGAGTAAATTCAAATAAATATTCTCCCGCCTTCTTACCTTTTTAGCCAGTGGCCAGTGGTTTTGACCGCCAAAACCGAAAAAAGGACATGCGTTCTGGAAAGACGATAATGTTTGCCATCACTGTGCTTTATATATGCAATGGCAATTAATAATAATCAAGCAACAAATCAAGCTGATTTGTGGATTTATTTAATACAAGTGTTTAACTTCAATTAACATAAGATGTATCGCAATGTCACTTTAACTTACAGTGTGCTGTTAAGCGCTACAGTGCTGCCAGATCGTTAAACTATCGCTGTCACGACAGCTGTTGGCTGTTATCGCCATTAGGTGAAAACAATGCAATTTTTATGGTAAATACAAAATTGTAAGTTAAACTATTCAATATCATAGTTAATTTTACCGGGTTAAGTATACCTAAAGCCTGATCTCTCGCCGATTTGTGGCAGCTGTGACAATAGTGGTCACGAGTAACGGGTAGTTGGCGATGTGCCATCCCTAGTTCTCTGCCATAGTTAGTCAAAACATTAAAAGTAAAGTCGCATTTTTACTGGTTGAAAAATGTTGATTTGAGTACTTAAGCAGCTGCAGTGCAACGTGTTAGGAACGTAAAGAGGTGGGTGACAAGGTATTTGATGGAAAGAAATACCTTTCCGGGAAGTGGCTAAGCTACGGAGTGAAAGAAAGTCCAGGAAGAAACGACGTCACTAGATTATTGATTTTTTTTTTTTTGCCAAAGAAAGTAAGGTGCATTGCGAATAAGTGGGCGAGTAAGTGAGTGACTTCCAATTGGAATTACGTTTGCCAGATATTTGGTTGGCCTGGCAAAGAAAACATGCACTAAACGCAGTTACTTTCTTCGCTTGTGGCCTGGCCAGTTGGTGACATCATCAGGGGAGCTACCAATATTGACTACCCACAATTAATCATGCATTCCCTTTTGCAGAGTACTCCGCCCGTGAGAAGAGACCCCCCGCTCACACCCACGACCAGTTGCTCTGAAACCAAGTCCCAGCAGGTAACCAGGTAACCCAAAGCCCCGGAAAATGGATCGCAAGGCTGAGCTGGAACGCAAGAAGGCCAAGTTGGCCGCTCTGCGCGAGGAAAAGGACCGTCGGCGGCGCGAGAAGGAGATCAAGGACATGGAGGAGGCGGCCGGACGCATTGGCGGCGGCGCAGGAATCGATAAGGATCAGCGCAAGTGCGTACTCCGGAATTCTAATCCATCGCCGGTGACGGTGACTCATCTCATCCATCCATCCATCCATTTATCCGTGTTTCAGGGATCTCGACGAAATGCTGTCATCGCTGGGCGTGGCCCCCGTCTCGGAGGTCCTGTCCTCGCTCTCCTCCGTCAACTCGATGACCTCGGACAACTCCAACACACAGACCCCCGATGCCAGCCTCCAAGCCACCGTCAATGGCCAAAGGTAAGGCCACTGCCCACCACTCACCAGCCACCAAAACCTTGCAGGGAGCATTGTAATCATAGCCAGGAGTTTGCAGGATCTTCCGCAGATAGCGTTTAGATGAGCTGTCACAACAGCAGTCCGTAGGAAGATAAGTCTAAGTTATTGAAGAGCTCTAAAGAGCTGTTTTCATGAGCCATTTGTTTCATCTGCTTTCCTTTCTAGTATAGAAAAGTTTTATGCCGGCACTGAACTAAACTAATATATAATTTAAAGTTGTAATGAGAATTTGGAAGGTCTAAATATATAAACTGCCCCAGTAGGATATAAGAAGGTATTTCCTAGTTTTCAATTAGACCTATAAATTATTTGATTTGATTTGCTTTGATTTATTTATATTATAATATTTTATTTAACAACAGAGCTTGCAAAGTCGAACAAATACTTTAAAGACGTAAGGACATTTTTCTTTTAGCATTCGATATATACACTTTCGGTTTTCCGCTTAATTTAACTATTAGCGACAACACCAAATTGTAATTATATTAATATGAGTAGAAGTTCCCTTTGTTTTCGAAAGCATTTCAATATATCTGTGAGCCGTGCTAATGCTTTTATTCATTTAAAGGCCGAGAAAAATATGTTTTACAAATCCATCATAGTTTGCTTAGTTAATATAAATCAGAAGAAGAATAGTTTTAAAAGGTTGTTTAGTTGCTCGTGGCTCTGCAAGGGCATTCCGGCTTCGGTTTCCGAGGCTAGTCTTAATTTTCAGCTGACACTGATTTATTTTGTGCACCTGCAGCGGCGGAAAGAAACAGCCCTTGAACCTGAGCGTCTACAATGTGCAGGCAACAAACATTCCACCAAAGGAGACGCTGGTCTACACAAAACAGACCCAGACGACCAGTACCGGCGGCGGAAACGGTGATGGTGCGTATTGCCCCCCGGGGAGAGGAGCTGGGCTCTACTGTAGTTGAGTCCCCTATCCATAGTTTGACTCCATCTTTCGCTACTGTTGCCGTTCTTATTCTTGGTCTCGTTGTTTACTGTGTTTGGCTTCCCTGCGTCCACGTCCATGTCCATGTCCATGTCCACGTCCTTGTCCCCGTCCGTTGGAGGAACTTACTCTGTCCATCTCTGTACATCTCAGTACCTCCCATCTGTCCCTTTCTGTCTGGCGTTAGTTCACAATGCTGCATGCTGCCCCCGAATGCGCGCTTTTCTCCCCCATCAAGAGTTTCCCATCCCGTCCCAACCGGCAGAGAAAACAAAGATACAAACAGAAAACCATAACCCATAGTGAAATAAAATAACAAATACAGTTCTTTCTTGCCACTCCTCGCCTCTGTCAGGATATATGGAGGACTGGTGGCGTCCACGTAAAGGTACTAATCTTAATTATAAGCAAACTCCACACGTAATCATATTAGCACACGATTTTTGTTATGATACAAAATTAAATGGAAAAAATGTACATATATGAAGAGAGCCATGTGAAACGCTCATACGATTTCATGTGATATTGCATTATAAGGCAGAAGAAGGATATCAGCATCGTATAAGCGCAAACAATATGGTGGATTATTCAACCGATTGCTTAAATTATGACAGCTTCCTTTGCTTTGCTTCAACTCGATTTGGTTACAATCCCCAAGAACGATGTTTTGTAACAGTAGTCATTGGTCAATTAATCATCTACTGAAAAACCCTTTATATTTGTTTTGCCCCTATCGCATTATTTTTTTGCCCTGTTGTGCTGCCAATTCAGCCTTCCCCATAAAAGTCAAGATTTAAGTATATTTTTTTTTGTCTTGAAAATATTCATCAATTATTTAAGAACTCAATAAGTTCAATTAATGCTATTGTGGAATAAAAAAATACCATACTTTCTATTCAAGTTATATGAAAATTCAAATTCGTCATGTTATTTACAAACTAGATAGGTTAACCTTTTAAATTTATCAATATTCACCATATTAAAATTTAAATTTAATTTGCTTAAAACTTGTAATTTTCTGTAGTCCTGTATTTCTATTGTTTAGTAATTCTAAAGGTGTATTGTAAAGCAATGTGTCATGTGTCACCTTTGACCCTCTATTTTTTTGGTCAACATGTCCCTTTTCTGTAAAAGGTTGTTGGTAGCAACACGCCCCCTTAAATCATAGCCACCTTTACACTGTTTGGTTCTGTTTTGGTCCATTTACGCTGCATTCTCGACTCATTTTACGCATATCCTCCCCTGTCCAGCATTCATCCGGTTTGCCCATACATCCAACCATCCATAGCCATATCCATATCCATATCCATAGATCATTAGCGTTTACACCGTTCGAGCGCATTTAATAATTTGTCTATTTACTTTCTCTCTCTCTCCCCCTTATCTGTTTTTGGCACGCACGCAAAAAAAACTGCAGCTCATGCTACGGATTATTATGGTGAGTAGTCCTCGTTGTATGCGTAATTTTGTACTTAGAACTTTTCAGCCTCCGTAGCGGTCTGTGTACCACCCGTAAAGCGTATCGTATGCCTTTAACCTGTAATCGTATATCTTATATCCAAACCTTTCTCTTATTACTCGCATTATGTATTTGTGTAGTTTGCTATATCTATACCCAACACAATCTATGCTCTTCCCAAGACTTCTTCTGACTTGCCTAGATTATGCCTGATATCGTTATCCTATATATAGATACATCTATGTTTATGTCCTAGTTTCTCCTAGTTGTTTCTTCAAACCTTGCTTCTTATTCGGTCGTTTGATTTGATTTCCCAACCGGTTCTTTATATATATATATATATATATATATATACTTATGTATACATTTCATATGATTTATATCTTGTTTGTTTCAATTAGCTCTAAAACCACATCGCAAGAGATTCAGTTTGTATCAGAGCAAATAGATTTTGTGTGTAAAGCGATTATATCGAAATGAAAATCAACAAAAATTTGTAATCTCCACCCAATTTATAAGTTTTTAATTCGTTTAAGTAGTTTTCATAACCTATAAGTTGAGTTTATCAATTTTTCTATGATTTTTTTGTTTTAGTTTATGTATAGCAATCGTAAGTATTGCGGGTTTCCATACTGTTAGCCGTACAAATGTTTTTTTCTGTTATAATTTTCTTTTTTATTCGTTTTTAGCATAGTGATCTATAAAAAATATTCTTATTCGATTATTTTTTCCAACAGTTATTTTAAGACTATGATAACCTGTAAGACACAAAAACACAAACCTAAAACACACACGTGTACAACAAAACTCCATCTTAAGCACGAATTGAAAAGCATATGTATATTTATATCGTTTGTATGATTAACTATCAGATATATTAGTTGAACATCCTAAGCTGTATTATAAACTTTTTCTCCTCCCCTCGCTACCTTTTGTGTTCCATCATATAAGCCAGGCTTGTGTGCTAATAGTACTTATACATAAACCCTATATAATCATATATATATACATATTCGTGTGATAATTTCGCCAAGCAACAAAGTTAAGCACACTAAAATCCAACATTTTTCACTTTTTTATCGTATGCATTTTGTTTAAACATTGACTATCGATCGATGTATCAATTTTGATGGGCGGTATGCTAGAGCCAAACTCATTTTTTTTTCGTTTTGATTTCAAAAGTCACAAAAAATGAAACTACCAGCAATGTATGTACAATATATTTATTTCTTTATATTTCTTCAAGATGAATACAATCTTAATCCGGGTTTAGAGTGGGAGGATGAATTCACAGGTAGGTACAGGCCAGCCGCCCGAACCAAAATATTGAACAGTGACGGAATCGACATGAAGCAAAATAGGAACTTTCCAATTCTCACTTTGCAAACGAAACGAAACGAAATCAGAACAAAAGCACAGAAAGCGCGTCAAAAATCGATCCTTTGAGGTGTCAGTGTTGAAAAGTGAATTGAAACGCAGCACACACTCGCGCTCACAACACTAAAAATAACGGACCCTACCCGTGTCTCTGCCTGCCTCTCTCTCTCCCTCTCTTTTTCGCTCACGCCCTTCATTTCTGCTTGTGTAAAGTCTACATTTGCATGACTGCTAATACTCCTGCCCCGCCCCTTTCCTTCCCTCCTTTGTGTGTCGTGTTGCTAATCCTTATCACTCATCCTAAAACTTCGTGATAAGTCATGATAACGATAACTCTGCCCTAACCACTAACCTCTCTCATAAAAGAAAACAGCAGCAGCGACAGGATGCTAGGCTTGCTTCATCTCACTTACTCTCACACGAGCGATGTTCGGCTTCGGCTCCCTCTGTCTGTCCCTGTCTCTTAGCTTTCGATCCCGATCCCAAAATCTTTTTCAATTACAGCACTGTAACAGAAACAAAATCGATCAATCGGCCGTTAACTTTACCATGTTTAATATATGTGTAATATATTTCTAGCATAAAACTAAATAATTTTAAGTGCAAACAATTATAAAATGGGTGGAGAAAAATGCAAAAACGATGTACAATAGCGATAACGTTGATAGAGTTAATCGAAACAGAAACATAGCTAAACTAAAGCAGGGAAATTGTAAATCTTTTGATTTCAGTAATTGGCTTTGTATATTAAATAGGTGAAAAACCCGAAAAAAAATCGAAAACCACAAGCGCACACATTCGCATACTCACCTGTCCGTGACCTAACACTGTATATATCGATAACAAATTACCGTCAGATATATGCACCTGTGTGAGTGCCTTTAACAGTGTTTAACAGTTTATTAACAGCCATGCACCTGCCGCCACATCTCCCATCTCTCTCACTCTCTCTCTCTCTCTCCTACTCCCGATTATACGCACGCACGCACACACCCACACTCTCAGGAAGAAAATGAAGAAGGCAAGCAGGAAGAATCAAATGTGGTGCAACTCTCCCCCTCTCTATGTCTATTGCTTTCCCTCTCACACACTAAGTTTCATATACCCCCACCCAATCCAAAATCCTGCCTCAAAAAACCTATAAAAAAAAAATGTAAATGAACAAAGCCAAAAGAAAGTCTCAGAGAATTGCAGTTTCTAGCCATGCAAATCGAAGACGAAGAAGAACGCAAAATGAAAACAAGAAAAAGAATCAACTCAAACTCAAACTCAAAGAGCCGAAAGTAGAATTGTTCCTGTTCTGTCGATTGTCATGTTCCTCTAGCTGTGTTAGTTTTATACCTTAAACAGTGCTTGCATTTGATGCCCAAGGAGACGACGAAGAGAGCTCGCTGCAGAACCTGGACAACGGATTCACCTCCAAGCTGCCCCCGGGCTATCTCACCCACGGCCTGCCCACCGTCAAGGATGTCGCCCCGGCCATCACACCCCTCGAGATCAAGAAGGAGACCGAGGTGAAGAAGGAGGGTGAGTGATTATATACCAAATAAACCTACTTAACTGATTTGTAAATAGGACCATGCTCAGAGTATTTTAGATATAAAATGTGCACACAAATTGTGCTAAAGAATTCGCGATGATGAATTTTTTCCTTTTTTTCGAATAACAAAAGTCTATAATGTATTCCTTTAAATATATATAACAGGTAAAGTATACATATTTGTATATTTATTATCAGGATCAGTATCCGAGTCCATCTGGCCATGTCCGTCCGTTCATAACTATTATAATTATAATTATTAAAGCCAAATATTAGGGATTTAAAATGCACATTCAAGGTTTGCTTACGCGAGCAAGTTTATTTCAAAATGAGGCCACGCCCACAAATCGCGAAAGACTCTCATGTCACTTTGACATATGGTAGAGGCCAGTTACTAGGCTGTATGTGTTCATTCGTTCAACATCTATCGACTTACTCAAAAATTTCCAAATCGAACCATATTATATAAGAAGTTATTAGAATAAAAGTAAATGTTTGGATATTTGAAAATTAGAGGTGCTGCACTTGTAGAAGTTCGCCAGATGGCGCCACCTAAAATCCATTTATCTTGTGGGGCATATTTATTTCGAAATTGATAAGCTGAGTAATGCGTATTTATTTTTATTCTATAAGTTGTATTTTTTCTATTTATTAGTAAAAAAGGCTTACAAATTCAGGAGTAATTTAGATTTTCTTATTAAGGCAGAAGTCCCTTAAATCAAAACATGTTTCTGTTAAATTTGTATGCCGTTTGTAATGACTTATCAAGTTAATCAATAAATTTTTACTTAATACTTACATTAATTATAATAAGATTAAATAAAAATAATTTGGAATTTTATTTAACTAAAAAATGTTGCTCTTTGTAAAACCAATAAAAACCAGGTTTCGAGTTCACAATTGAATGAGTTAGACAAAATTAGTTATAATTAGTTATAGACTTCGTATGCAGCACATATTGATTTTGGATTCCATCCATATATCTCATTTTATTTCAGTCAACGAGCTGTCCGAGGAGCAAAAGCAGATGATCATCCTGTCGGAGGACTTCCAGCGGTTCGTGGTGCGCGCCGGCCGCGTCATCGAGCGTGCTTTGTCGGAGAACGTGGACATCTACACGGACTACATTGGCGGCGGCGACAGCGAGGAGGCGAACGACGAGCGGTCCCATGCCCGGCTGTCGCTGAATCGCGTCTTCTATGACGAGCGCTGGTCGAAGAACCGCTGCATCACCAGCATGGACTGGTCCACCCACTTCCCGGAGCTGGTGGTGGCCTCCTATCACAACAACGAGGAGAGCCCCAACGAGCCGGACGGCGTGGTGATGGTGTGGAACACCAAGTTTAAGAAGACCACGCCCGAGGACGTCTTCCACTGCCAGAGCGCGGTGATGTCCACCTGCTTTGCCAAGTTCAATCCCAACCTGATCCTCGGCGGCACCTATTCGGGCCAAATTGTGCTGTGGGACAATCGCGTGCAGAAGCGCACACCCATTCAGCGCACACCGCTCAGCGCTGCGGCGCACACGCATCCCGTGTACTGCCTCCAGATGGTGGGCACCCAGAATGCGCACAATGTCATCTCCATTTCGTCGGACGGCAAGCTGTGCTCCTGGTCGCTGGACATGCTCTCGCAGCCGCAGGACACTCTGGAGCTGCAGCAGCGCCAGTCGAAGGCGATCGCCATCACATCGATGGCCTTCCCGGCCAACGAGATCAACAGCCTGGTGATGGGCAGCGAGGACGGCTACGTCTACTCCGCCTCGCGTCACGGCCTCCGTTCCGGCGTCAATGAGGTCTTCGAACGCCATCTGGGCCCCATCACCGGCATATCCACGCACTACAACCAGCTGTCGCCGGACTTTGGCCACCTCTTCCTCACCTCGTCAATTGACTGGACCGTCAAACTGTGGTCGCTCAAGGTACGAAAGTTGTCCATTGTCACGTTAACACTGTTTTGAGTGCATTCCCGCCAGTCTTCGCGTTTATATACCTTGTAGAATGGGGTGCTCATCGGTGCATTTACCAGCACAATTAACACATTTGAATGAGTTGTTAGTGTAAAGATCCATGGGTCGAGCAAGCTTTTCTTATATCGTGTGCAATTGCAAACTAAAGGGTCAAATCAGATTCCTTTTACTTTTAAAAGTCATGGAAATATACAAGAATAATTTGATATATGCCCGATTTAAAAATGACACTTTCCTTCACTGCGCTACATACTTTTCAAATGAATCTAAACATATCAATGCACACGAATCTTTGAGTCATTTCGTATTCAGATAAGGAAATTAGTTTTATAGTTTTTTACTGGAATTCAAATTGGTTTTCATCGATATTATGTTATTAGGTATTTAGTTACTTAAATTGATCTATATTTCTATAAAAGATGGTGAACTTTTGATTAAACTAAACAAAACGCTTGAATAATAATTGCAAATTAAAAGATTAAATCAGATTCATTTTACTTGGAAAAGTCTTGGAAATCTACAAGAATGTTTTCCTTTTGTCCTATTTTAAATTGGTACCGTTCTTCAGGGCGTTAAATACTTTTTAATTGCGATAAACTAATAGTGTTGAGTTTAATATTATGATAATCAAATTAGTTTTATAGTTTTTTACATCATTTTAAATTGATTTCTATCTTTAAAAGTGTGTTTTTAAATATAAAGTTACTCTCTTTCGATTTATCCTTTGAGGTTACTGAGACATTGCTTAATATTGCTTAAACTAAACAAAACGCCTGACTAATAATCTACCCTTCTTGCAGGACACAAAGCCGCTGTACTCCTTCGAGGACAACTCGGACTACGTGATGGACGTCGCCTGGTCGCCGGTGCATCCCGCACTCTTCGCCGCCGTCGATGGAAGCGGCCGCCTGGACCTGTGGAACCTCAACCAGGACACGGAGGTGCCGACAGCCTCGATCGTTGTGGCCGGAGCACCGGCCCTCAATCGCGTCTCCTGGACGCCATCTGGCCTGCACGTCTGCATCGGCGACGAGGCCGGCAAGCTGTACGTGTACGATGTGGCCGAGAACTTGGCGCAGCCATCGCGCGACGAGTGGTCGCGCTTCAATACCCATCTTAGCGAGATCAAGCTGAACCAGAGCGACGAGGTCTAGGACGATAGTTGTTAGCTGGTAGCTGGTAGTTTGTAGTAACCTGCGATGCTTAGAGGTGTCCCAGAAGGAGAGTCCTTGAATGAAATTTAATTTGTATTTTTGTATCTTTTGTGATCCCCCCGCTGCTTAGTTGTGTGTATAGCCCAGAACCCCAGAACCCCAGAACCCGAAACTCGAAACTCATTCGCAGCCCAAAATGCTCAGAATTGGCTTGACCACACCACATCTTTCTCAATCCCCGAAGAAATCAAGGGAAACTGCAACATTCTGTAGGTAACCACAGTAACTGTATTAGAAAGTTTATTCAATGAAACTCGACAGAATATAGACATATAGAGCATTGCTATTTACCCAGATCTGTTCCCACTGCCAATCGTTAATCGTTTGGTGAATATCAGTAACTTGATCATTTTGGATCCCGCCAAATTTGATTGGTAATGGAAACGGATCTGCCAATGGCATGATAAACGGCAAACGGTGGTATATGGTAAATATTAATTTGTGGAACTAAAAATAATGAAGAATGATTGTTTAACCGACTGTCGGGCAGGCTGAGAGCAACACAAAAATAAATTAAACTACATATTATATACAACAACGTATTAGCTTAAACCTGAGAAGATGAAAGACAGAGACAAAGCAAGTCAGACAGGAAAAGGGGCTCAGAAGTGATCGTACGAAAACTGAAGATAATGCTACATCCACTCAACTGAACGAGCCCAAATGTAAATGTATTAGAGCGAAGCCTATTTAACGAGATTAAATAAACATAATATCTATATACACATTTAAAATGATAGCGTCTTTAATTGGCACTCAAACACTGGTAAAAGAAACGTGGTAAATCCAAATATTTTGCACTTCTTTTACGTATTTTTCGTATTTATTTATTTCATATTATGCATACAAATATTAAACAAATTTAATTTGATTTTAATGTACATCTAAAACTTTAAAATACAATTAAAAAAAATAGAAACAATTTTAAGTCTAATATTTCAATATTAAATCAATCATTTTAATATGCATTGTATTTAATTTTTTATTTAATATTTAATTTAAATATTAAATATAACATTTTGAACATAATAGTCGAATATTTACTTTTACTATTCCATTTTTTATCAGTGTATGAAGATAAAATGGAGGCAAGATTTCATGGGACTATGAAATTTGCTATCTTTGCAACTCCTTATACATTTCGATATCTCCACTTTTTTACGATCCTGATAAAACTACATAAATATAAAATATAATATATTAAATAAATTCCATTGAAACTCATTTTTAATTTCATTGCAATTGAAATGTTTGCACAAAAGACTCATAGTAGTGTGGCGCGAGTTTTCGCAGTGGAATGGCGATCTCGTCAGCAGGTTTAATTAATTAATTCAAGAAATGTGCCGAATGATTCAGTTGCTTCGGAATTCAAGTGCAGCCCCATTAGAAGCGGAATCAAAAGCTCAACCGTGAAAGTCGCGCTCTCAAAAGCTTCTACACAGAAAAAAAATCAGCTCGATATCAAAGTAAAACTAGCAGGTTAATAAGTTTCTTAAGTTTTTCGTACAATTTTGAGTCAAGTCAAATCGGGATTTACATTTATTTAGGTTTTCTAAATAATAAGTATAATATTTGACAGTAGTCGACATAAATAAATTCGAAATGATGTCACTGAATCAAGTTGTCGTTTACGTGTAAAATTATAAAATAGGTACGTACACCCGCCAAAATCCGCGTTCGAATTCCAACGCTAAATAACATTTTTTTTAATATTGTTTTAGTTTAGTAAGCTCAGTTTTCATATTACCAACGAAATACCGTTTATACAAAATTAAAATGCTTCTAAACTCATATAACGCAAGGTGTTTTTTTTATTTTAAGAAAATCCCGTTTTTTATTCTTAGTTTGTCAAATATAAAGTCTTATGGGTCTTTTACAAGGTTGTCTTTGAAATTTAAGATAATATTTGCGCATTTTTATTTCAAAAGTCTCGGCAAAATTAAATATATCAACTTGTGCACGGTGTTAAAAAATCAAATAAAATTATATTTTTCCATTAATTTTGTCAAACATAAGAAGACGTTGTGTTTTAATTATTTGAGACCTTTATTATGGTTATATTGAATTTTTTAAAATGTATTTTGGAGCAATGGTTGGCTTTGCCTAATTGGAAGTAATCTATAGGCCAATGGAGGGAAAGTTCAAAGTGCATTAAAGCCAAACCCTGTGAAATGCTAACTTTCCCTTAAAAGCTTAAATAAAACCTAGTAGTCTTGAGCATCTATTATTTAAAGTACCCTCAGTAAACAACTATGTATATATATCATAGCGGTTGGGCCTGCACAAAACTTCTGTTGCCCTATGTAAATATTTGCCATCCCATTAAACAGCGTTTTTTTTTTCTGTGTAAGACTTGTGCTCTGTAGAGAGAGCAAAAAGCGGTGAGCACAGAGGCGAAACCCCAGTGCAGTGCCTCCCATTTCCAAATTCAACTACCTATTATTCACCAAGAGCAGGCGGAGACAACAAGACGTCGCCAGAAGAAAAATATAAAATCTATTAAATCCCAGAGAGAAATCGTCGACTTGCCAGTTTACCAACTGAACATCGAGGAAACCCGCAGACAGCCAAGAATTTTTCAAGAAGCGCAATGGATTACCAGGTCAGTTAATACCAGGTGAAGTGGGATGGCATTGTTGCATTATTGCACTTATTGATTTGCCACCGCGATGCGTCATTCGATACACAGGAAGAAAAAATTGATAGACGTGCCTAGGGCAACAAAATGTATAACTTTTAAATCGGATAGGATGTACATCTGCGGTGCAATTAATAGCAGTGACAGAATGCAAAGTGCTCAAAAAACATTTCTTTAAGGCATGGGAAAATTTTATTGTAAAAAAGTTTCAAAAAACCTTTGATATTGTTTTAATTTTTCAAGGTTAATGCACCTGTTAACAGTTCCTTAAAATACACTTTTTAATTTACAGTGGCAGATGATTTACGAAAACACTTATAAAACCTTGTTTTTTATCTTTGTATAGAAACAAAAATGTTGTTAAAAACATAATTGTTTTTTTTAATATTTCCTAAAATATTATTTTGTGTATTTGTTTCATTTGTCCCATTTAGTCTATAGTAGAAGCTTCACGAAAATATAAAATTCAAAAATGGTTTCCAAACTATTTTGAATTGCTATCATAAGCTAACTACTACTGTTTGAAGTCATCCGTTTAGCGGGTTTTTCAAATAGCCTAACGAAAGTTGTGTTTTTCTAGACTTAATCGACTTTATTGGTGTCATTAAATAACTTAAAATTAATATTACAAAACGGTAATTTATGCATTCTCTTAAATCGAAAAAGAGGAAAAAATTCAAGATTAAATTCCATTTTGGATTGGCAATCGAACATGTCAAAGTGATAAGTCAAGAAACAAGACCAAATTGATACGGGATATCACCAAATTTAATATTTATTTTTTTTCTGTGTGATGTGCAACTATATTTTGAACTTATTTTTCGCCGTGTAGCCCGTGCCCACGGTGAAGGACGCCAGCCCCTTCGACGCTGCCCAGGATGCCCAGGTGCTGCGGTCGGCGATGAAGGGATTCGGCACCAACGAGGAGGAGATCATCGAGGTGCTGGCCGGCAGGAGCAACCAGCAGAGGCAGACGATTCGGGCCATCTACGAGGCGGAGTTCGAGCGGGACCTGGTCGAGGACCTCAAGGACGAGCTGGGCGGCAAGTTCGAGGACGTGATCGTGGGCCTGATGATGCCGCCGGTGGAGTACCTGTGCAAGCAGCTGCACGCCGCCATGGCCGGCATCGGCACCGAGGAGGCCACACTCGTCGAGATCCTGTGCACCAAGAGCAACGAGGAGATGGCCCAGATCGTGGCCGCCTACGAGGAGCGCTACCAGCGCCCACTGGCCGAGCAGATGTGCAGCGAGACGTCCGGCTTCTTTCGCCGCCTGCTCACGCTGATCGTGACCGGCGTGCGCGACGGACTGAGCACCCCCGTCGACGCCGGCGAGGCCAAGGAGCAGGCCGCCCAGCTCTACTCCGCCGGCGAGGCCAAGCTGGGCACCGACGAGGAGGTCTTCAATCGGATCATGTCGCACGCCAGCTTCCCTCAGTTGCGGCTCGTCTTCGAGGAGTACAAGGAGCTCTCCGGCCAGACCATCGAGCAGGCCATCAAGCACGAGATGTCCGACGAGCTGCACGAGGCCATGATGGCCATAGGTCAGTACTCCCCCAAAAGCTTCGCTGATTTTAACTTTAAAGCACAAACTAAAACAAGTTAGATCGACTTTAATCAGCTAAAAGATTTTAAAATAAATATGCCCCCAGGTGGCGCCATCTGCCGAACTCCAGGGACACTACAGTGAATTTATATTTCCAATATCTTCTAAAATAATGGTTCGATTTGGAACATTTAAAAAAAAAAAATTAAAAACAAACTAAACTAGAACTTGAAAATTAAACCCTAAACCTCATACCCTATAGTTTGGTTATACCAAAATAAATAATACTTTGTAACCCTGTGCAACAGGTAGAAAATTACATAAATTTTTTACTCTATGAGTAACTAGTAGAAAAGTTTTGATTATTTGCTTTGGTGATAGTTTGGTTTTCACATTGTATATATTTTAAAGAACCATAAATAATGAATGATTTTTTTTTATTTTTAAGTTACAATGCAGCTTTGAACAATTTCACCATATTTTTTTAATTTTATATATTTTTGTTGTAATAGTACATTTTATTAATGTTTGACCAACACTTTACAATTTGATTCCTTAATTTATTCATGTGAAACAAAAAAATGAGTTTGACTGAATTAGTTGCGTAAATTCAATCTTCCAAAAGTTCTTTAAATTATATAAATCCAGCATGAACATAAAAGTTATAAATACCTTTCAATAATAATAAAATAATAAATAATAATTTAATACTTAATGATATTTTCACTGCACTTATAAATGGCTTTGAGGTACTCCCTTATTGTTATTATATTTATTTTATTTTAATACTTTTGATTGGTTAATGCTACTACACTTTGTTTTCAAAAGTTATCTCTTGTTTATAAATATATCTGCATCTATCATCATCTATCTTCTAGTTGAGTGCGTCCAATCGCCGGCGGCGTTCTTCGCTAACCGACTGTACAAGGCGATGAATGGGGCGGGAACCGATGACGCCACCCTCATCCGCATCATCGTCAGTCGCTCGGAGATCGACCTGGAGACCATCAAGCAGGAGTTCGAGCGGATCTACAACCGCACGCTGCACAGCGCCGTGGTGGTAAGTGGATCTCGCGACGATCGCGAGTGCTTAGCACCTGGTTAACGCATCCCTTTACCCTTTTTTTTACTTGTATTCGGTATTTGTTGCGGTGATTGTGTTGTCCTAGGACGTAAGTATTGGCCACGGCATTGGTGCTACCCGTTGGAATCCCCGATTTCAGTTACTCTCCGAACTGAGATGCTCTTTTTGCACTACAGTTGCTAAGCGTTCGCTTCCTAACAATTTTCAAAAACTAACCCAATTTGGCATTTAGATTTGTCTGTAGATTGGTATCCATATTGCATTAAAAAATGGGCATGCTTTTACGTAGGGTTGCACTTAAGATGACACTCACCTGTTTATTTTCTGTCCAAATCGACTATTGTTTATCAAAATTTCATTAATGGCTTACTGTTAAAAAGTATGCACAAACAATATACATGCAAATGAGTAATTGTAGTGTAAATAGGGCATGAAATAAGCCCAACTCCGAACTTGTTTCATCCCGTATGTATGTTCTTTTTGCAGGCGGAGACTTCTGGTGACTACAAACGGGCCCTGACAGCCCTACTTGGCACCGCCTAGGCGTGTGGATGCTGGCAGCTGGTCCGCCCATTGTTATTCTCGTATTAATAGCCGTATTCTTAGTGTGCCTTTTAGGAAATCGCTTTTAATGTCTGCGCATGCGCCCACGGATGGCAATAAATAAACGCACATAGCAGCAGTTCAAATCAATATGAGAATATGAGACGGGGCATCTGGGGAATCACTTGAAGAAGAGCTTGTGCAACTGCTTGGTCTTCACGGGCAGAAAGTTCTGCATTTCATCTGGGTTGGTCCAAAACGCCACAGAGTTCTGAAGGTCTATGCAGGGCGCCTCCCGGTGGATGTATTCCTTCAAAATGAAGTCGTTCTCAATCTCGTGGTGAAAGCGCGTGTCGTGCATCCGGATGAGCACATCGTCCACGCGCAGGAAATGGCGCAGCAGTATGAAGAAACCAGAGGGCATCACGCGCTGTCAAAGTGCCAGTGATGGTGTCTTACAAAAACGGTCATATTGGCTGTTAGCGGGTGGTACTTACGATACGAACGCTCATCACCGAAATACCATGGTCGTGCAGCTCGTCCTCGAACAGGGTTAGATCATGATAGAAAATGATGTTCTCGCGCTGCATCAGCTTGAACTTGTTGAGGGTCTGATCCGTGCTCTCCGAGCGCACCTTCTCGTTCATGGTGCCCTGGTAGGTGGATGTGAATGTCCAGTCGAAGGGCTTGAACTTCTCCTCCATGGTCTGCTCGGGGCTGGAAAATTGAAACCAACTATTTAATTCTAAGCCAATTTACTAAGGATTAAATAATGATTTATGTTTATATTTAGACAGTAATAGATATTTTTGACGATTTTTGGAATGTTTAGTTTGAAAAACAAATCGAAATTGGTCGGGATCACATAAGTTGTGTTAGCCATTACTTATAGTGTCTTTTACAAGATTCACACACATAGAAAAGCACATAAATCAGTTGTTATATTGCTATAAAGTTGTCAAGATGTCTTACAATTCTTTTATAAATAAAGTTTGAGCCAATTGATGGAAAGGAATATTTGTGGTGGTTTGGCTTATCCAATCCAATATTTACTTAAGATTTCGACAACATTTTTTGAGTTAAAAAATGTCCGGATCAAACTGGAACTAACTAAAACATTACCCAATTGAGGGCCTAGAGTTTGATATTTTGAATGAGTACCCACCGCGTTTCCCGCCACTCTTGGGCGCAGGCGACCTCCAGCGGTTGCTTGCCGTTGTCCACCAGGGCCAAGGCCTCCATGGGCTTAAACTCGAGGACGGCGCCGTCCTTGTGCTGGAGCACCAGCCGGTTCTTGTGGAACACCATGTCGGGCAGGTGGGGCAGCTCCAGGGAGTACTGGTAGTGGCAGAGGTCGCAGCGGTCGGCGGAGTCCTTGGGGCAGCACTCGTTGGTGCCCAGCTTGCAGCTGCTCTTCAGGATGTGCGACTTCTCGTAGCTGATGGCCCAGTCGTGGAACTGGATCGCCTCGCTGTCCACCGGCAGCCGGGGCACAAAGCACTGGGGATTGGCTTAAGTTTAAGTTTCGCTTGGCCTTTTCGGATGGCAATCACCAGCACCTACCTCGTTCGACATTGTCCGCAAATATCACGAAATATTGGAACTAACTAATTCGCAAATCGGTTGAAAAGCTTTTGTTTAATTCCGTAAATTCCGCTGCAGATTGCACTTTGTTTTCCTATTAGAGATGGACCTGTCAATGCTCCTATCGATGACTTCCGAAGCTTAGTGGCGTTGCCAAATATTCAAAAATTAGGGATGGGAAAATGATATTGTAGATTGTAGTTGTTAAATTGGTTTTGAATATACATTGTTATACTCTTTCCTATTTAATTAAAAAAAATAGTTTTTTTATAGTATATAAATTTATATTATTGACTTAAATTCTACCATTTTTGTTATTTTTTGGCTCTTTATATATTTTAAGCTCAATATAGATCGTTAACAGCGCCTGCCAATTGTAACTATTAAATTGGTTTTAAATAATCTTTTAACTTGTACCAAGGTTAATTGTTAGTTTCCTTCCTTTTAAATTATAAATATAACTTCTTTAGCCAGAAAATGGTATTATTAGCTTATGTTTTACCATTTTCATTATTTTTTGACTCTTACTATATTTTATGTTCAATATCGATCGTTAACTGGTCCAGCCAATTGTAGCTATTAAGTTGGACTTAAATTATTTTTTAACTTGTACCCCAGTTAACTGTTATATTCCTTCTTCTTCAATAAGAAAAGCTTCCTAATTAGCCTGAAATTTCTTGATTGGGTGGGTTGGTTGATTTTGACTCCTTATTTGAAAGCTCAATAACTATCGATAACAGCGCCTGCCAATCGGCGGGACACTTGCTCGCCGCCATCTGGCAACCCTGGACGTTTCGCTTTTGTTTTTATTCCGGATTGTTATTGTTTTTGTCAGTTTTTCCGGCTCTTATGTGTGAAGCGTGTTGATTCTGAGCGGCAACTCAACGATGAATGTCCTGCGGCGCCTGGACCGCCTAATCGCACCGCATGCGCACCGCAGTCCCGCCATCACCACGTGCCTGTGGCCACAGCGATGTAGGAATCAATCCTCGACCAGCTCCTCCGGCGGTCCGAACTCCACGGTCACGCTAGATGCGTCCGAGGTGCGCGGCGTGGCCCAGATCCTGCGCCAGCAGCGGGGAAACCTGGGCCAACCCACCAGCGTCTCGCATCCGCACCTAATCCGGCCGGACGAGCTGGTGCCGGGCGTGGAGATGGCCGAGTTCAAGGAGCGGCGCAACCAACTGATGCAGAACATCCGCGCCTATGCGCGCAGCTTTGGCGGCCAGTTCAACGGTCACTCGAGCGCCAGCCACATGGTGAGCCCCCCTCTTCTCTGCTCCCCGAAACCACATGCCACTATTAACCACATGCCACACACAGTTGGTGCTGGGCGCTGCCTCCAAAAAATACATGAGCGGCAAGATCCCCTATGTGTTCAGGCAGAACTCGGACTTCTACTATCTCACCGGCTGCCTGGAACCGGACGCCGTGCTCCTGCTGACCATTGACGAGGCCCAGAGCGTGCAGTCCGAGCTGTTCATGCGGCCCAAAGATCCGCATGCCGAGCTCTGGGACGGACCGCGCACCGGTCCCGAGCTGGCCGTGCCGCTCTTCGGCGTCACCGAGGCCCATCCGCTGGCCCAGCTGGCGACGGTGCTGGCCAAGCGGGCCGGCGACCTCAAGCCGCACATTTGGTTCGACCAGAAGAACTGCGATCTGCCGTCGCTGGCGGAGAATATGGTGCGGCTGAGCGGACAGGAGCAGCGTCCGTTGCTGCCCGCCTACACGTTCGTGGAGGCCATGCGGCTGCTCAAGTCGCGGGCCGAGATGCAGCTAATGCGGCGCACCTGCGACATAGCCGCCCGCTCCTTCAACGAGGTGATGGCCGAGTCGCGGCCGGGCCAGTCGGAGCACCACCTGTTCGCGGCCATTGACTACAAGTGCCGCATGCGCAACGCCAGCCATTTGGCCTATCCGCCCGTGGTGGCCGCCGGCCAGAACGCCACCGTGATCCACTACGTGAGCAATAGCCAGCTGCTGGGGCCGCACGACCTGGTGCTGATGGACGCCGGTTGCGAGTACGGCGGCTACACCAGTGACATTACACGCACTTGGCCCGCTGGCGGCCGTTTCACGGAGCCGCAGCGCACGCTGTACGAGATGCTGCACCAGCTGCAGGCGGAGATCATTGGTGCCGTGATGAAGCCGGGCGGCGAGACGCTCGACCAGCTGTTCGAGACCACCTGCTACAAGCTGGGCAAGTATCTGCAGGAGATCGGACTGGTGGCCAAGTCGGTGAGCGAGTACAAGGAGCTGGCCGGGCAGGGCTATCGCTTCTGCCCGCACCACGTCTCCCACTATCTGGGCATGGATGTGCACGACACGCCGCATGTGCCGCGCAACACGCGCCTTGTGCCGGGCATGGTGTTCACCGTGGAGCCGGGCATCTACATTGGCCACGACTGCGGCGATGTGCCGCCCGAGTTCCGGGGCATCGGCATCCGGATCGAGGACGACCTGCTGATCAACGAGCATGGCCAGGTGGAGGTGCTCACCGACGCCTGTGTCAAGGATCCGCGCGCTCTGCAGGAGCTCTGCCAACAGCGGCAACGCGACGACTCTGGCGCCACCGCCTTGTAGTTGTGAGCCCATTCGGCGCGGGCGGGATCCACAAAATTCCTAGTCATATGTCGCGGTACATCCTTCACTGCTCCACTGCATCCATCCCAAGACACAATAATTGCTCTAAGCGACAGTCCGAGTTCTAAAGTAAAGGCAGCTGGTGTATTTGTAAATGCATACATGGCGAATACATTTTAAATTCGATCCTCCCGCCATTTGTTTTCTCTGGGGCACAAAGATCGCAGATCGAAGATCACATATCACAACTTGGCAAACACTGGCTTCTCGTCCTTGGTCAACTGGGCGGCCACTGCCTGGGCAAAGTCCTCCGACTGCAGGTTGAGCTTATTCAGCAGGCGCTGCAAAGGATAAAAGGTTTTGAGATTGAGATCATTGACCCTAAAAAGTTAATTTCTATTAGGCTGTTATTGCTACAGATATTGTTTCGAAGTCCTCAACTACATTGATTGTAAAAATATTTGCATTCACAGCCTATTATGTGTTTTATATACAATTTTGAGTTGAAAATTGCAGAATTTCGTTTTAAGGTTGTATATACTTAAGCATTTTTTAAATACCTGCTTATAAAAAGGATTTCCTTTTTAGCTTTATCAAATAAATACCACTATCCTACAACTTTCAATTGAATGGCAAAAGCTAAACTCAGCACTATGCTTATTACAGATATATACTTTAATATATATATAACATCAGCAATAGAGTACGTTATTTCATGTTTTTTTTTTTGTTAAAAAAAGGATTATTGTTTTGACTATATCAAATTCATAACGTTAGCCTACAGCTCTCTTTTAAATAATCTCAGTTAATTTGAAATGGCAAAAGTTAAAGTTCAATCCATCCAGTTATCTATATCGCTAACTTAAGTTTTCTATAGTGATATCTACTTTTCAAATGAATATTTTGTAGACTAAATCAAACTATCATTGTTAAAAAGGAAAGAGATAAAGTTCAATTCAGTCAGTTATTAATATTGCTAGCTATAGTACTCTGTTCAGTCTAATAGTGAAGAAATAATCTAAGGGATCTGATCTATAAGTTGTAAAACTAAAAGCAAAGTACACCTGCAATAGTAGGTAATGTATAAGCCAGTCATCTATACCTCCAACTTAGTACTAGCTTCTCTTAAAGATCTATACTACACCCACAATGTGGTCCAATCCCTGCTGGTTGGTGTGCTCCAGCGAGTAAATCATGTTCTCCTTGGTGGTCCTCACGGCGATGGGGCTCTTGCTGGCGATGATCTCGGCCAGGGAGAGGGCTCCGCTCAGTAGGGACTCCTTGTCCGGAAAGAGGCGACTCACCATGCCCGAGGAGTGGGCCTCGGCGGCCTCGAAACGGCGACCCGTGTAGCACAGTTCGCGGGCCAGCGACTGGCTGCCCACGACCTTCGGCAGACGCTGCAGGGTGCCCACGTCGGCGGCCATGCCGATGTCCACCTCCTTCACCTGGAAGAAGGCGTCCTCGGTGCAGTAGCGGATGTCAGAGGCGGTGATCAGGTCCACGCCGGCCCCAATGCACGCCCTGTGCACCGCCGTGATCACCGGCTTGGGGCATTGCTCCAAACTGCTGATCGAGTCCTGGTACAGCTTGATCGTGCGCTCCAAGATGATGCCCTTGCGGGCGTAGTCGTCGGTCTCGGCCAGCGCCTGGCCCAGGTTCATCATATCATTCAGATCGATGCCGGCGGTGAAGTGCTTCCCGGCGGCGGACAGCACGATGGCCCGGCAATCGGGATTGATGGCCAGTCCCTCCATGCACTCCTTGATCTCCCTGCAAACGGGTGGAGGGTGGGTAGGTTAATGCCATGGAATCTCCGTAGTTGTCACCAAACCCACATCCACATCTGCTTGTTAATGGCATTCAACTTGCTGGGCCGATGGAGCTCCACATGGTAGACGAACGGCTTGGGCGAACTGATGGCCAGGGTCTTGAAGTGGCCGCCGGATTCCGGACTCAAGGCGGACAGGTTCCTCTGCGGCTGCATCTGTATGGCTCGGATGGCTGGCGGAGATGCGGAAATGCGAAAATTTCAGACGGATACGCTTCTCACAAAGTTCACCGGCAAACGGACTTTGAACCGAACTCAGATTGCAGACCCGGAGGCCGGAATCTTGTGCTATCGGATCGGAGTACCTACCTGTGGGCTGGGTGGCCAGTTTCATTAGAGTGTTTAGCCGGGACAGCGACATTATTGCTTTAATAAACAAAAACAACTTTAGTTCAAATCCACTTGTTGCGGCAGCGACATTTGTTTTCCTTTCTTTATTTATCGATAAATGGCGGTGTTGCCACCTGGCTGGCGGATTCAAACTAATTAACCCCTTATGTGGCCGTTGTACCGTTTTAATTTTATTATTTCGTCATGTTGATAAACAAAGTAACAACTGCTCAACTGCTTTGATGCATATTAGTTTTATTTAATTATTGATGCATATGCATGCATATTAGTTTTATCTAATTAATTGTAAATAAATCCACAAGTGCAGCATAATTGTATGAAATTAATGGGCGAAAGAAAGGCCGAACAATATTTTTTCGTTTGCCGAAAAGTTGTAGGAAATGGCTACAAAATATTGAAAAGTTTATGAAAAACAGACTTTTTGAGCGAATACCGTGGGAAAAAAGGGTAGGTAACTTTGGATAAGTTAAGTTTAAATAAAATCTTACTATAACAACTTTCTTATTGGTTTTACAATTTACTTCTAAACCTTTTACGACATTACAATCGTAAAAATATTTTTTTGTATATATTTTGATTTAAAATTTTTTTCAAACATGCTCCAAACGGCTTATTGTTTTAGAATTATGGTAAATTTTATAAAGATCAGCCACAAATCATTGAAAGAGGTCAGTAAGTGAGATTGTATAATACAATGTTGTTTTTATTGAATAACTTATATGGTCCATGCCTATAGATGCCTATAATGCAGTCAGATCTGATTTTAAAAGTAAATTGAATGGTTTTCTAGGGTCAGTCGTAGGATTAAAACTAAAAGCGCAGCTGTGGATCAAACGCACGCATTTGGATCCGCAGCCTGGTCAGTGTTCCGTACCATGGAATGTAAGCTATCTCTCAAACCGATCCGCAATTATTTGCGGCTGGCCAGGTGGGCAGGGAGCCGCTGGCGGGTTCTATTGGCCACGCAGGACATGTCCAGGTTGCCCTGTTGGCGGTGACTGGGATCGGGAGTGGGAACGGGAGCGGCCACAGTCCTGCGACGCAGTGTCCGCCCGTTGGAGCGACTGGCGGTGGCCTCTGGCGTCAATGGGCGCAGGGGACGCCTGCCTCTTGGCTGTGCAGCTGGCAAAGAAGGAGACACGCGGCGCTTCTTGGGCTCGCGCTCTTTGCTTGTATCGGATTCCTTTTGCCCTGACCCAGGCATCCTGGCTGGCAGCGTGCGGCGCGAGCGAAGGGAACGCCGAGTGGGAGCAGCAGCAGCAGCAGCAGCGGCGGCGGCGTTGGAGGAGGAGGAGGAGGAGGAGGAGGAGCAGCCAGCCGGTGAGGCCTCCTTTTCTGGCTTAACGTTCTCCTGGTTTTCCAGTGCCTGCAGTCTGGCGCTGCTGCGACGCGGTAAAGCTGCCGATGTTCCTCTTGCTCTGGCTGCTGATCTGCGTCCTGCACGTGGACGTGGACGTGGTGGTGACACCTTTTCAGAGCCAGACGATGTTGTTGCCAAAGTAGAACTGGATCTGCGTCCAAGTGCAGTGGCTGCAGAGGTTCCCGGCGGGCTTGGGACGGATCTTGCTGGATCAGCAAGTGGCTGGACAGGCTTTCCACTGGCCCCAGAGGTGGAGGGCTCCTCCTCCTTCTTCTCCTTCTCCTCCTCCGCCTTCCCGGTCACGCGACTCTGCTCCTCGATCTCGACCACGCGGCGGAACACGTCATCGTCATCCTCGGTGTCGGAATCATCCCACACGGAGGCGCTCAGCTTGGAGTGAACGGGATCGCGTGTGTTGTTCATCGTGCTGTCGTCGTTGACCCCGCTCGGCTGGCTCCTGGACGCAATGGAGCGGAGCTGGGGGAACTGGGCAATCAAATCGAAGTCATCGCTGTCGGTTTGATCCTCGTCAACCGTTACCACCGCCGGCGTGGGCGGCCGGGCGGCGGGCGAGACGACGGGCGAGACCACCGAGCAGACGCCGCAGACATAGTCGCCGTCGAAGGGATTGGCGCAGTAGCAGTGCACGGGATTGGAGCCGCACAGGTTGCAATACAGCAGCGACCCAACGTCGCCAAGTCGACCGGTAGCTTGTCGGCAGAAAACGGCCGTGCAGGCCTGATCCCGAAGCAGTTGCTCTGCAAAGGCATTCGGTTCGGTCTCCCAGCTGGCGTCCCTTTGAGGACATAGAGGAGATGGTGGTTAGAAGAGGGTAACTACTATGGAACTGTGGAATGGCATGAAACTCACTGGTTCGAGACCGAGATGCCCATCAGGGCCACGTCGTGGAACTCCTTCGAGTTGTTGCACAGCGGGCACTTGAAGAAGTAGCCGGCCGTGTTGGCGTATTCCTGCAGGCAATTGCGGTGGTACCAGCCATTGCGGCAGCACGGCGAGATGAGGCAGGTCACCACGCTGAAGCGAACGCCTTCGGCGACCAGCAGCTCCTGGCAGATGATGCAGTTCTCCGCCTCCGACGGCGGACGCTGGCGATTGCGGCGCACATGCTGATGGCAGTAGGACTTGAAGGTGTCACGGAACTGGTTCTGCGCCAGATTGTTGATGCCGCACTTGGTGTGAAAGGTGCGCCGGCATCCGTTCTTGCAGCACCCGATGTTGGCCCCACCGCGATGGCAGTAGCAGCAGGTGAGCGGCCGGCAGCGCTTCGCCTCCGCCAGGATGTCCTCCTCGAGGAAGCGCAGGATGCCGTGGCGCTGGTTGCCGCGCTGGACGAGATTGGAGCTCAGGTACTGGGAGGAGCAAGGGAAATTATGTATGTAGCTGGAGTTCTCTGAAACTCGGAATTCGTAACTTGGTTCACCTACCAGACAGTTGCGGTGCACCGTTATCCTTCCCTCCGAAAGGACGGGGCCGAGGGTCAACTCCTCCTTTTCGCTGCTGCGACACAACACGCACATCGTCATGGTCGATGCGTTGCGGTCCTCGAAACTCCGTTTAAAAACACAACAGATTCCGAAATTTGCAAGATTTCCGAAATTTTCCGATTTCGGAGCGCTGAGGCGCGTCGCGCGCTAATGGCAAACCAAACAATCGAAGGCAAATCTGGGCGGGACAGTGTTGCCAGATGCTCAACGCACAGTCTTGCAATCGCGATTTGAATTGAAATAATCAAGATCAAGTCAAGAACAAAGTTTTCACTCTTAAAATTTACGTTCGTAATGTTCGCTTTCTGATTGCATACTGAGCTAAATGTTTTCTTTGAAGTTTAAACTGAAGAACACGTGACATTTTTCAGTTCAATTTCTTGCTTTAATGTCTAAGCCTCTAAGATCGAAAATTTCTTTCTAAAGATACACTTATTGGCCTTTTTTTTTTTAAATGATGAGAAAGAAAATAAAGTGCGGCAATTCGAAGTTTATAAACTTTTATATTCAACGAACGACATCGTTGTCCAATCGTAATTCGAAAACAGTAATTAATCACAATAGTTCCGAGTACAAATATATTCCGTGAGTAATTTACGATATGCATTCTAATGCATACAAAAGAATTTGAATTTAACCTTTAAAAAGCCAGTGTGAGCGTGGACTTATTACAGAAAAAATTGTCAGCAATCTCCATATATCTCCATTCTGAGCTTCAATAAATCTGTCAATGAATGAGCCCAACAACGCAGTGTCATAACCCCATAATAAACAGAAAGAAAATTGTCAGCAATCTCCATATATCTCCATTCTGAGCTTCAATAAATCTGTCAATGAATGAGCCCAACAACGTAGTGTCATAACCCCATAATAAACAGTCAAGAACCGGAGTGGTACTTTTTGGGCTGACCATTTTCGCAGTTCGAGTGACCATACCGGTAGAGATGGAAAAATCGATGAAAAATCGGGCTTACCGATATTTAAAAAACATCAATGACATCGACATGGTCATCGATGTTTCACCACCTCTAGGGTTGTATGTGTGTGGGTGCGTTAGTAATAGTTTATCCAGAATATGAATTAAGGAGAAATTAAGCCGAAACGCCGACGCCCACAAATCCGTTTTCCCCGTCCGCCCAGCGTTGCAAAAAAAGTCGAAAACTCGGAAAAATCGCGACCGCCAAGAAATTCGGAAAGCATCTACACAAAATTCAACAGTCAGCTCCTGTGTGTGTGTGCTTTGTGAGTGCGAGTTGTGTGACTGTGTGCGAGTGTGCAAGCGAGGCAGACGATTGCGAGGGAGTCGAGCTTTGCCAATTTTCCAGCCAACTTTCGGCATTTAATCGCTGTTTATCTACCAGAAGCCAATCATTCGGAATGCATTGAGTATGCTACTCGTTTTCTCTCTGAAAATCTGCTGATAAACGGCAAAAGACGAAAAAACAGCAGCAAGAACAACAATAGCAGCTGAGAGGCCGAAAAAAAATTAATCAAAGGAAATTAAATAACAAGGCGGCGGCGGCAACAACACTTACATAAATTAACTCGCAAACGCAACAACACTAATAACAATAGCTTATCACACAGCAAAAACAACAACTGCAGAAATAACAACAAATCCGCAGCCAGAAAGAACAACAGTTTATCTCAAATATTCAGCCGGCTGCACGAGTGCGAGCAAGAGGTCCATAGTAAGAGAGCGGGGGAGAGAGAGAAAGATAGAGAGAGAGAGAGTGTGTGTGAGTGGGAGCAGGCAGCAAAAAAACAAAAATTCATATTTTGCATTGTTCGACTCGACTAACTGTAAATACAAAGCACTTGAAAAAAAACAAGGAAAATGGCACGCGGCTTCGATCATCTGTTCAAGTTGCTAATAATCGGCGATAGCGGTAAGTTTCCCAGGCTTTCCCAGACTTTCCCAGACCAGGTGCTTAAAAATAGCACCGTTGGCAGGTGTAAATTTTATTTTGTCCCCAATTCCTGCTTTTCCCTTTTTTTTTGCCGTAAAAATTACACTAATAATCATATAGAGTTATAACTTTAGCATGTACAAGTTTATATGTAAATATATGTATGTATGTAGGTACATATGCGCAAATATCTTTAAAACAATTACGCCAACATGGTGAATGAGTAATATTGTTTTTAAAATTTTGTTTTAAATTATTAACTTTTGTCAGAGTTTTTGTTTTTATATTCGTATCAATGATACATTAGTTTATCTATTTATTTGAAATATTTGTTTACCCTCCACAGCGTTTTGTTTAATTTTAATTACTAATAAAAATAATTTTTTCGAAAACAGCTTAAAAAAGTCGGAAATCAATCTTAACCTCAACAAATAATTGAAAAGCTGAACTTAAATATAGAAAATAATTACAATTCTGAAGTAAACATTTACATTATTACATCTTAAAAATTAAGCTCGGCAGAATTTATGTTTTGTGTTTTTTTTTCAACATTTTTTTTTGTTATTTAAAGTATGAAAGCATTCCCCATCTTTTTTTTTCTTAATTGAATTATACAATTTTTTTTAAATATTTTTAATTTACTGCAAAAGTAGTATTTATATTAAAAAAATCAATTTTTACTGAAAATGATAGTATTAATGCCAGAAAAAGACAATCTGGCCCAGTGTGCTGTCGTTTCTAATTGAAGCTGACATGACAAATGCTGACGCATCGCCAGGATATACACGATGATACCCGAGAAGACTGGCTGCGGCGGTAACCGGATCAACAGAATATCCCTACCCAGATATACATATCGAAATGACCACTCATAGACCTATCATACGCCCAATAATATGCATGTTTAGTAATCCAATCCTCTGTTTCAATCCGATCCCTCGCAGGCGTGGGCAAGTCGTCACTTCTCATTCGGTTCTCGGACGACACATTCTCGGGCAGTTACATCACCACCATCGGCGTGGACTTCAAGATCCGCACTGTGGACATAGAGGGCATGCGGGTGAAGCTGCAGATCTGGGACACGGCTGGCCAGGAGCGCTTCCGGACGATCACCAGCACGTACTACCGCGGCACCCACGGCGTCATCGTCGTCTACGACGTCACGAACGGCGAGTCCTTTGCGAACGTACGCCGCTGGCTGGAGGAGATCCAGAACAACTGCGACGTAGTCAAGAAAGTATTAGGTGAGCCAAAACGATCAGCGGCGATCGGCAATCATATTAATCCCATGCTCGCAATCCCTAACAGTGGGCAACAAGAACGATGATCCGGATAGGAAGGTGGTCATCACGGAGGACGCGCAGCGGTTCGCAAAACAAATGGATATCGAGCTGTTCGAGACATCTGCCAAAGACAACATCAATGTGGAGAACATGTTCTTGTCGATCACGCGGCAGGTGCTCGACCACAAGCTGCGCACCTCCCCCAACGAGCAGCAGAAGGATACGCTCCACCTGAAGCCCAATCCCAAGGGCACCAAGGGTGGGAAGTGCTGCAGGTGAAAGCGGCTCCGGCACGGGAGCTGGCATAGCAACTGGACCGACGGCGACGGCGACGGCGGCGGCGGCGGCGGCGGCGGCGGCGGGACGGGGATTGGAACCGAAATCAGGACCAGGACCTGGATCAAGTCTGGGGGCGGATGGAATCGTTGTGGGGCGCTTAGTTTGTAGGGTTCTTGGCGTACGACACGGCACACACCACTCACTCACATAGACATAGCTTAACACCAACAAACAACACTCACACACCCACACACCCACACACCCACTAGAGACAACAATTTTTTTGTTTTGTTTATTTTCCTCCTGTGTTTTTATTCGGAATAATGCCAGATAGCCGTAAATTAAAGTGTAAAAGTGTAAAGCGCAATTAAATGTATTTAGCAATTTATATACATATTAATATATACATAAACAAAATTTAAACAAATCGCATATTTATGTACAAGAATATATTTATATTTTAAACGGAAAATTGTATTTACAATAACAAAAACGACAACAAGAAATCCAATCTATAAGGTCTAAAATCTACTCGAAAGCAAAACGTTCGACCAAAATTTATATATATATATATATATATACACATATGTAGGTGAGATAAAACACAAATGTATTGGCTTCCGATCGCTATTCTTAACTCCACATACTATAGTTTTAAAAATTAAAAAGGAAAAAGGAAAGGCGAAAGCTAAGAAAAGCTAAACATATATTTTGGCCTATTAGGTGTTTTTGTTTTCATTTCCCTTTGTTGAACTTTATATACAGTTTCATATGTGCTTAGCTTACATAAGTCAGTTTAAATTACGCTAAATCCGAAAAAAAATAATTAATTAATTTATATCAAACTTAAATCCCGAATCTCAGAAAACTTTTCTTTTGTTGCTTTCGAAAGCCGCATTACGCTGTTAAGAATTAATTTGATCTTGTTACTGCCATTCCATGATTGGATTAACTATACAACCTTTTTGGCTACGTATTTTTTTAAGTGACTGCCTAAAACTAGCTTTCAATTTATTTTGGCTGCTCGATAAAAACACCTCTTATTACTAACTAATTTTGGGACGCTGAGTATGGAACTGTCATTTACTATCAGTGTGGATAACTTTGTGTGTTAACTTCCAGATAGCAAGAGGATCAGAAATCCAACACCCAAAAACATAGATTGGCCTTCCCAAAAACATATTTTGTTGTAAAATAAATTCCGCATAACTAAAAAAAATAAAAAATGTTCAGTTTTCATATGCGTTACTTTTAGAGTAAGACAAGGTATATTGATTTCGTGCAACAGTATATAACAGGCAGTTAAATGAACTTCGAACCCTATAATTAATGTATACACAACATATATCTCTCAGTTTAATCAAAAGTAACTCAGAAACTCTAAAACCTGTAGGGAGAAATATCGAGATATGACATCATTATGACCTTTAAATTCAAAAACAAAATTTTAACAAGCAACTATACTTTTAATAATATGCAGTCTCCTAAATTAGAGTACAATACAAACTATGTCTTTGTATTTGAAGGATCTTTTAAATTGCTGTCTTTGTTGTATGTAAAAAACACAAATATGCTGGAGCGATCTTCAACGAAATATTATCTGTGTAGTTCAGTGTTCCTCAGATTCTAAAGTTAATTGCATACTTTTTGGATGCTGACTGTCAAATGTCAAAATTACATTTTCAAGTTTAGAAAAAATATGCTTTATTTATATTTAAGGCAACTTTTCTTTTTGTCTTTAAACAGGTTTTATACACTATACTTCTTGAAAACACTGTAGGCATTTGATTTTTAGTATATCCAAGTATATTTACATAAATATTTTAGACTTTACCCACAAATCAA